CAATTCCTGCCGTCCCCTTGAGGCCTGCTTCGCCTCTTGCAGTTCCATATATGCTGCATAATCTTCATTCCCCATCAAGGAACGAAGCTGAGCAGCTTTCTCTGCATCCGCTTTTGCTCGCTGCAAAGCGGCTTCCTGCTTCTGCAGGACCTCATATGTCTCCCGTCTCTCCAGGGGAATGGGACTGGCAGGTTCACCTGCTGAACCGAGATACACAACATCGTCGTTACCCGCAGAATCAACGATGTCTGCACGGTTACGCAATTTGGTGTTCTCAACAGGTTGCAGCAAGGGCAATTCGACACGAATGTCACCTGTGGTTGGCCTTTGCAGGCCTTGGGATCTCCCCTTAGCCTTTTCAGGCTGATCTCTCGCCTTCATAGGCGGGTCTTTCTCCTTGCCGGGTAATTCCTTCGCCTTTGCCATTTTAGGCTGGGTCTCCTTCCCTGGCGTTTTCTCCACCTTGGGAACGCTGGTCTCCACAACCGACGGCGATGCCTATTCCGGTTGGGTAGGGACAAAGTGGGCAGGGTGGTTTACACCACTGTCACTGCCGCTACTGTCCTGCTGATCGGCCCAGCGTTTGGAGGTCCCCTCCTTCTTGGCAATGTGGGCAAAGGCCTTAGCCTGCTCGGCCGGGTCCAGCTCATCGACCGGCGGCTTAACCTCTAGGCGCTGCGCCTTTTGGCTGCCTCCTGCGGAGAAAAACCGCTTGATCTCAGCCTTGCGCTGGCGTTTGTGAGCTCGTTTACGCTCATATTTTTTGGGATTCAATTGGCGATCCCGTTCACGCCGCATCGCTTTCAGCTCTCGTTGCTGGTTAGCCTTTCTGGCCTTTCGTTCGTCCAACTGCTTGGCACGAGCAAACCGATCTCGGTTACGAATGCGTCGTCTTTCTTTCTCCATTCTGTGCACTTGTGCTCGGGTGGACATGTCTCCCGGCATTGGAGATGCACAAGATGAGAACGACAACTCCGAGATCTCCTCCTACCGTTCGTGGGGATCATTGGGGTCCGGTCTCTCTGGACTCCCATCGCTCAAGTCCCATGGTTCTGGGATGTGCCTGAGCGCAAAGGCCATTTTTTCTGGCCAATTTGGGTCCTTTTTGGCAATTTGATCTGCCATTCCAGGACCATACCACCTTTGAATTCGTACCAGTCGGGCGGTGGTCAACCTTTCTCCAAACTGGTCGGCGGCCATTCGCCACCCCTCGTCAAGCTCATCGACGAGATCACTGTGGAACTTTGTCCACATTGCACGGCACGGTGGTTGCCGGCTATACGGATCTCGAGTGTCTGGAACAAATTCCAGCACTCTTGAGCTTTCACCAGGTCCCCATTCAGGCAGTGCAGGCCTCCTGGGGCTCCAGTTGTGGCCTCCCGGCCTTGGCGGACTTTTTCTGCATACTGCTTGAGCGCTTTCTGTAAGCGACTCATCTCCCGTCCCGTCCGATCCACTAGGTGTTCTCACATGCACCTGGGATTTGAGCCGTAGCTCCGGGATCTTGACCTTCCGGCCTTGCATTCTCTCAACTCGCCCTAAGGCTTTGGCCTCCCGGCCTTGATATGGAGATTTCTCACTTTCCATCGGCCGCTCACCTGGCGATGGACTCTTCCGCTTAGAGCGCTGCTTGCCAGCAACCTTCCAGTCTTCCTCTGGAATGGTTGGCATGGGCAGCTCCGACGGACTGGGGGCCCTCACAGCTGGCACCACCTGTTGGGCGCTTCTCTCTTCTGCCTCCTGGGCCCGCTGCTTTTGCTTCAGGAGGCGGTCACTCAACGCCTTGACCTGGTCTTCGGCGGAGGTTTTGGCTTCTTGTGCCTCGTGGCTCTGCTGCTTCGCCTTCTTCATGGCCAGCTCTTTTTCTCGAGCTTCTTTCTTGGCCTTGTTGACGGCGATCTCCAGTGAGGCGATCCTCTCGGCGGTCTCTTCCTCCCGCTTCGCTCTCGCCTTCTGGGCCGCAACATCCGCCACTTGCTCCAAGAGCTCCATGATACCAGGGGTCTGCAGCAGCGCCGCTATGGCTCCCTGATCTTGCTCTTGCTTCTTCTCCGCCGCCGGTGGGGCACTCGCTTCCCCCATCGGTTCATCTTCCTCTACAGGTGGCGGAGTGGCTGTGGAGGGTCCAGCCGTGTCCTCCCGGACTTTTTCACCTCCTTGCCCATCCCGGGCTTGAACTTCACCAACCGAAGTCGGTGTCCCCTCCCGGGGTGTGTCAACCTCTCCCGACGTGTCGGGGGTGCCCTTGCGGGCAGAACTGTCTGATTCCTCGGCCTCCATGGTGGAGGCCGGGGAGGGAGCCCGTTGCTCCACGCTTGCGCGTCCGCCCAGGCGGAAGCGTGGTAGCCACCCTCAGGTGGCTCCGAAACCAAATGATACGAAAAGTCTGTGGGTGTGGGGCGCCTGCCCTCTTTGAGCCGCGGACCCGCCTCGCCGGGCACCTAGGTCCTTACGGGGACCTAGGCGGGACCACCCCTCCTACTCCCATATCCTTATAAGGATAAGGGTTACCGTAGGACAAGGAATACAATACGATCTTGGGTAGGGCGTCCCCCACACCAAGGGCCAGTAGTAGGGCGTCCCCCACATCAGACTGGTGCGCGTAACACACCTGAAGAATTGGAGGTGACTTTGTACCCATACAACATCTTGGTCTCTCTTGGTGGTGCACATGAGCCAGCCAATCAACGGGAGAATGGTGTAGTGTAGTAGTAGGAATTGTAGAAAGCATGGGGTCATGCCTTTGTAATTGCAGTGTTTGTGAACAACTTTTGCTCTATTCTGGCATTTCTATTCGTGATGCTCCTTTTGTGCAAAGAGTCGTAGCAAACACTCATCAGAAATTGATGTCATTGATGCTAAGGGACAATCTCCCCTTGGCAACCTTGGCCAGGGAGGTTGCTGCCTTGAAGGGGTGCCTTACATTTCTGTGGGAGGCTGAGCGTGCAAGAAGGGAGTGTGCAGGAAAGGGGGAAAGTTTTAGTGCCTTGCCCCTGACTCTTTTTGATTTGCATTCTTGCCCAATTTGTGGCACGGTTCAATATCAAGTGGCTTGTGTTCTTCTAGCTGGAATCTTTATTGGTTGTTTCTTGTCTCTGAGTGCTCTAAATTTTGGTCTCTGGTTTGGTTCTCTCCTTTGAAGAGGGAGAGAACACGTGGCCGTGACACAGCCTCTGCATAGTCAGCAATCACACATAATGGCCATGCAACACCATGTTTCCTTGTTTCTTGTACACACATATGACCTACAATGAACATGCCCCTGTCAAGGGCCTTGCTCTTCATTGTGCAGGAGATTAGTCACTCTGTCTTGGGTATTGATGCCATCTTGTTTCCGGACACCCTAAACCCTAAACCACTAAACCACTTACAAGCGTTGGTCTTGTCAGCGGATGAAAAAGGGATCCACACAGAAGGCAGAGGGACTGATATATTCAGCTTGACAGGATGCAAGACGTGTGTCTTGCACACGTGTCATGTGCACAAGCCTGGAGAATATGTTAGTCCCTATGTCTTTTCTGTAACGATGCCTCTTCTTTCACTGACAAGGCGAACGCCAGTCAGTGTCAGTGGCTTGGGGTTGAGGGTGTCCGAATCAAGAAGAGATCTTCACTGAAAAGACAGAGCCACTAATTTCATGCCACAAGCTTGTAGGTGCGGGAACCAAGTCGAAGTGCCCGACACCTGGATTTATTGCATTACGGCATACCAGCCATGGGTGCATTGACAAGGCCAGTTCCTGGGCAGGTAGAGTTGGAGTGGTGAATTGGCCACAACTGCTGTGTTGGTTGAGATATATGGCGTTTGGTATGGACACGATCAAGAGGTCAGTCGCATTGATGTGCGACACCATGAAGGTGATGAGAACCGTTTTGCGAAAGCTATCGTTCGGAATGGAGCTGGTTCCCAGATGGTGGCATGAGGCATGGCGGGCGTCAGCGCGAGTCTGCCGACTTGCAAATACGGCCGGCAGCAAAATATCTCGCACTGGTCGCCGAGCAGCGGCGTTTCGAGTCGTTGCAGCAGGAGCGCCTTTCACTGGGTGGCTGATATTGCAGTCAACTAGACATCTTACTGTATGCACTCAACGCCTTCACACAGAATTGTTTGGGCATTGAATGGATGAGGCATTCATTTCTCCCCCATTACAGTCGATGCACACTTTGACATTAGAACCAACATTGGCTATGCCAGAAGTGCCACTGTAATGAAATGCGTCGTCCGTTTCAATGACGTGCATACATCTGCTCATCCTCACAAACGCACTTGCTCCATTGCGTCAGCCCGCAAACATGGTGTCCACACGACACCGTTGTCCTCAAAACGGAGACAGGGAATGACTAATTGAAATGTGTGCGACAACTCGGCCGGTCCGACGTCAACACATGTTCAATTGAAGGTGGACTGGTCCAAGCAAGGGCCGCGATGCCATAATGAATCCAATCCATCCAGTGATCTCAATCAATAGCTAATCAGTTCAGTGCACAATCCCTCCACAGTTCCACTGCCTACTTTGAGCGCCACCAGCTCGACCAGAACCTCCCTTTACGCACACAAATCCCCGGGCAAGGTGATCGGCCAATAGGCTCAAAACCACAGCCGCCATCTGTGCACAGGCCATTCTTTATGTCACATCGGTTGTGGACGGCAAATGGCCAAACCACCGATCGATGAAACATTTCCTTGCAGATGCTTGACTCGTCTGGGGCGCTGGGAATTTATTGCTACCCGTCCCCACCCAACCTTGATCCTGCGTGATGGGCATAAGGGCAACGGTGTCCAGAGGCGGAGGTCGCCAAGCGCGCAGGCACACATGCGTTCTTGTTCAAGCTGTGAACTAATGCCAGCCTGCAGCAAACCACCTGCAACTCAGGACTCCGCCCTCTCAAGTCCAACTCTGATTACTGTGTCCACGGTTAGTCTCACCGCCTTCATCCCCAGTCACAGAAGAACAGAGGCACACGGACTTTTGATTGTGGCGCTGCCGATATGGGTCACCGTCATAATCCGCAGACGTAGTTGTAGCCGCACCCAGCCATGATCTCTGCGCCGTTGAAAGGGGCAATCTGACAAGCAATTGAAGATGCGCTGCAACACAGGGGTACAGTAGTTAAATTCCAGATATTGCGCATCTTTCGGCGCTCCAATATGAACGCACGGTCGACACAGTTCCAAGCGCATACGTCAAACAGCTGCATTGGCATAGCAGCGTCATAGCCATATGCGGCTGCACGGCTACAGCAACCGAGGCTTGCATAACCGCCGCAACAGCCATCCTCATGGTAGCATGCACTGTAAATTAGCCATCTATTGCTACTTAAGTTGGCTTAGATCATCAACGGCTTCCAAGCAGTTCGACATGATATGAACACAAACCAACGGAAAGCCCCACCAATCGTATTTATGCAAGAACAGATCTCTGCTTTTAGCACAATTTTCGTCGTTCAAGCATTCCATCTCTCCACGGACTCTCCACCCGTTACACTCGTGGTGGAGGGCACCCAGTTCGCGCTTTATGGGATGCTGCCAGTGGTGGCTGCGTCGCTCCTAGGCCCATTATCATGAATTATGTCTATTTTGCAGAGGCATTCTTATGAAAAATTGATATGTTGATGTCCCCATTTGAAATTAACACAATGATACCATATCCATAAAAAAGAAATGGTAGCCAATTAATTCTCAATATTGCCGTGAAAATTTCTACTCAAGCTCCAACAAATATTGAAAAACCTTCCAAACATGTATTTGCAATAACTTATTGTATTGTAACATGACATCACATTTTGATACTAATGTTTTCACGCATACGATCAATGGTGATCATCGCACAAACAATCGCACCAACGATTTCCACAAAAGCACATGTACAACAATCACTTCCATCGCAAGGCACTACTCATGTGGCAATCCGCTGCCTTGCAAGATAATTTTGCACTCATTCATTGCAATCGCCAAATACACACTCTACATTGTATGTGTGTGCTACCTCTGTTTCATAAGTCGTGTCCGATACCCAATTTGCACAAACGGAGATCAAAACGCGTGAGTCAGAAAACTTCACTGAACAACTTCGAGGCGCCATATCAGGAGCTATGCATAGAGCTCTCAAACGTTTCAGATGCTACTGCCATTCTAGCGATATGCCAAGAAGAGCTGATATGCGAGTTTTCATTCTTTCCGGGCATTGAATGGGGTACACCATATTTGCCTTGCCCTTAAGAGGTGAATTGATCTGAACTGTCATTAGGAGAGAAGTGTGCTTTGGTGGTTGGTTTGCACTAAAGATTGGGCTTGATCCCAAGCAGAATTTGCAAGGAAAAGAATTGGAGTTCGCAAACTCTTAAGTGTTAAACAAAATAATGAGCAAGTGATGGTCAAAGGCCAACAGACACCTTGATCAGTGCAAGAGAATCTACCTTGCTGATTTGCCAAGGTTCTGAAGGCCATACATACTAAATCAACTAAGAAAACGCCCTGGATTGAAGCAACCGCAGACAATTGTTGCAAGCAAGAATTTTGGTAGCAACATTCAGCATACTGGAAGAAACGATCCTCCCAAAATATTATGGTAATAATTTCAATATGCTAAAAGGGTGTAGTAGTGCCTATCTGCTGTCTGCAACAGGGTACTCAATGAATTTCTTTGAATTGGATTAGGACACACCGGATTATACCAAATGCATCAACGCAGCAGGGAATTGAGGACATGCATTTATTTCAACAAGGGCACTTTTGAAAGTGTTGCATATTAAATTGCATGGTGGAGACCAACATAATAAAGATCCACATCAACCAAAATCGACCAAGGAATCTGAATCTGGTCATGGATCCACCGATTGAGCTGATCTTGCAAAACTAGAGCAGGAATTAGAGATCGGACACGACTTATGAAACGGTGGTGTAATATATTGTTATATAAACAATTACATATAATTATATATAATTGTATAATACGTAATGTATATATAATGCAACTCTTGTGGCTCACATTATCGCATCCCAATAAGGGCACGGATCAAGAGCGTAAAGAGGCAGTGTGGCAGCATCTTCGATGCCACCGCAGTTGGCACCACCATCCTGATACAGTGGTCAGCATCTGGGCGACAAGGCGAACTCGATCAGGAAGTCGGCGATTTAAAATTGCACCAGAATGCGGCGGAAATCATGCGATTTGGTATTTTTCTATGCTGTTCACATTGTAGTTACCAGGTACGCTGCTAAAACGTGCAACGAGGAGCTGAGCGTTGTGTTGGCGATTCAATCAGTTGAGCTTGATCTAAATATGGAAAGCCATTGTGCAATATGGCGAACCACTTGCAAACGTGAGCAGTATGGAGCCGCGGATAATTCTGCATTTTCACATGATACTTGCAGGCGGTGCGCTGAGCGCTACAGGGATTCCAAAGCCCAAACCAAAGCACAGAGCTCACCACGGGCATCCCTGAAGATCACCAGCTCCAGCGGTGCTCATGTGACTGCAGCAGTTTCCATCCGGGCTGTCGCAGTATCGGAAGAAATCATCGACAATGTCATTTTGGACGCGGCCACCACATTGGCACTTCCCCCTCCTGAGGAAAGGCATCGGAGGCTTCGGCCTGCCTGGCCTGTCGCCGTTGTCCTCATCTTCGCTTATGCTACTAATCAGAGAGCCCAGGGCACCGAAGAAGCCCAACCCAGAGCCACCATCCGAATTCGGACTAAAGAGCTGTGCATGGCACATCAACAGCCGTCAAGGCAACCTGTAAATATCCGGGCGCCAAGGCACAAGGGAAAGGGAAAACATGCAGAACTTCCCATGCATAAATGCCTTGTGGGCATACGTATGTTTCTGAAAATGCAGCACTGCGTCATTTCTTGCCTTCTGCTCTGAGCATTTCACACATGCGAGTGCCTGCATAGCTGGCACCTGATGTGGACTGGTGCACCAGAGGCAGGAGTTTGAGCAGATCTTTCTTCTGCAGTGGCTATCTGCCAGATACACTAAAATTATATTTTTATCGTTTAGTGGTTTGTCAGGGGCTCATCAAACCCAGATTCTCCAGTCACCCACAAGAAAAAGTACAAACACTTGTCCGCACCAGCTTCAGATCTCTGTTGTGGCCATCTGATTGCTGCAAGGCTGGCAGTTCCGTATGCTTAACAGAGGTGTAGGTAGAATGCCCCATGAGTCTTCGCCCATTGTGCTCTGCTGCAGCAACGCCCATGAGCACGAACAGCAGGAAAATCTGGCCCTTCATGACGACAACTTGTTGGGTCTCCATGGTCTTCATTTGCGGTGTCCCCAAATCCTATGATACACCACATCAAGGATCACCCCTAACTAAATAAATGTTCTTGGGCTTTCATCAGGTGAGGAGTCACTTCTACATGTGATTGTTTCTTGCGTTCTGCAGTGAAAGACATGCCTGTGGTCTTTGTAAACTTCTGTGATTGTCCCAATCGTACAAAATTATTCGGCAATCCTCATGAATCCCTGAATTTACACCCAACACTTCAGCAGAATTACGAAAGCTTGCGATTGATATTGGTTTTGTGAAAGCCAAACTGAGAGCTTACGAATGATCCAACCCCCTTGCTGGATTGGGAGCCAGAACCTTGGCTGCACTTGTTATTCTTATCTTATGCTTTGAGCACCAGATAAACATTGCCAGCACAGCTGATTCCGTAGATTTCAAGCAACGTATCACACACGAGGTATACAACGACCAAGCCCTTGGGCGAGCTGAGCGAGGCCTGCATCAGCCTCCTGCAACAGGTCTTGTATTATTTTGAGATCAGGATCAGCCACAGTGCAGCTACCAGTAGCAAGATAACTTTTCAGTGACAGGTCAGCTTGCACACTTGCGTTCAGGATTTTCAGGCCGCAATCAGGTTTTGCAGTTTTCAAACTGGTGATCATTCGTTGTGACTGCGAATTGCGCGATGCCGGAACAGTGGCAACCCTTCCACTCCTGCCACCAGCCGCGGCATCGCAATCTTGAGACAGGACATACCACAGCTGCGTTCTACTGCCACACAGGCGATCGGCACTGCGATTCATGTAAACCATGAGAGGGAGGCATTCATGAGGCGGGAGAACGAAGCTTGGAACGGGCAAGAGATGGTTGAATCCTGACGCATGCGGCTCCATCCAAAATGGCACAACGGACATGTGGCCGCCCAGAAGGGTCGCGTGCACGAGTCAGGAGCTGCGTTAATTTCCAGGTGGGGTGCTCCTGAAAATCCGTCTCGAGGCGTGAAGTTGTGAAAACACTGCGGCATCTCAGCCCAAGCCCATGGCAGAGTGCGTCCACTGTCAACGGCCCCGCAAATTGTCGGTTGCATGCGACGCACGCTGGGCCGGTTTCAAATCACGTGAGCGCTGTCGCTCCCGGGTGGCTGGTGTTGTGCACAAAGCCACTTCCAAGCCACGTTGCCTGCTGCCGGGTCGCCTAGGGAGAAGAACGGCGACCTCTGGTGGCTGGTGCAATCGATGTTTCGTGTTTGCGCAAGTCGAAAACGCGGCGAGTCAGCATGACAGCCCACGGAGACTTGCCGCTAGTGCGACCAACTCCCGTAAGACGCCACCGGAGTCAATTGGACACGCGGATGCCTTGAGGAATGCACGAGGAGGTCCCCACAACTGTGGCCGCACCAGCCAATCAATGCACTTCAGCACGTCGCCAGCGCATACCGGCCAAATCGACCTCGAAATCGCGCCGGGCGCACATGGGAACGCGGCGACTGATTTCTGCCCAGATGTCTATCATCGGGTCCATGCGGCACGGGCAAATTCCGCAGCATCATCCCTACCCGCCCGTGCCCGCCCATCCAAGCCGTGGATCTGGCGCGGGGTGGGCACGGTTTCCATGCAGGCAGCCCCGGTGTCGCGTGTGTCACGACCCCATTGCAGGGCCGTGAAAATCGTCGGCGCCAAGCCGGCGAACATGGCACCCTACCTCCCGATGGCCGCTAGCGGCGAGCCCCCCTCGCCTTCCCCAGCGTTTTGTTGCCACAGCACCTCCAGATGCGGAGGGCTGGGTCCGGATACCTCCGACGCTGCTTACCTCGTGTGCACGACGCGGCGTGCCACGGAACAGGTCTGGCTCTCGAAGCGCGCATTCACGTCACGTCCCATCGCCGTCACATCGCAGACGAAAACCCCGCGATTCCCGTGTGTGGTGAGGTTCGTGTCCCAGGGATAAACAAACGCCCAGTGCACTGTCCACGCCTAGTTAAACCGACCGCTGGCGATCGATCGACTGCTCGCTGTATCTGATTTCTGTCGTCAATCAAGCCGATTTGGGTATTTGCGAAACGCGGCTGCGACCTGCCACTTGGCTATCAAAGCACTCAACACGGGAGGAGCACCCGAATGTGGGTTCCATCCGTGTTTTAGATGCCACAGCATGATTTTTGGTTTCGCCTGTTCAGCGGTTGTCGCGGCCCATGGAGCTGTTCCGGGCGCACCTGCTTGCAGCTGTTTGGAGCCAAAACATCGACCGCGTTGTCCTAGTGAAGTTGATATTTGTACCTGTGCAGGATGGGGGGAATGCCACTATCCTTTCTTGCCCATCAGACACCACGAGGGCACTAGGCACGCCACAAACTACCGTGGATGCCGATCGGTCCTTTCGCTTGACGAGTTCACGCTCCATTTCTCGCCGCAGCCCCGAGCAGATCCATGCCGCGGTCGGCAGCTGTATTGTCTGTTGCGTCGACTCGCCGGCCGCCAGTCCATGTATGGACAGGTGGCCTTCGCTCAGATTTTCGGTGAGGGCGCGGGGGTTGGTCTGTGGGCCCACGGGGTCGCGACGGTGCCAGCAACACACAAAATGGCGTTGAAGGGGGCTTACATACCTGGCAGGGCAGCAGGCCGACATCGCGCTGTAGGTTGGGGTGCGCGACAATGAACCTGGGGGCGCAAATGACGTCGTGCGCAGCTTCGAACCCGCTTCAGGCGGAGACAATGACAGCTTGAGGGACATACTATTGTGTCATACAATGGGCGTTCCAGTCCCATCGTGAAGTTGACCCCAAAGAGCTTCCCATACTCTGAGGGCGCTACCCCAGGGGGTACTGCGTCCCGGAGAGAAACATCACTGAGTACAGCTAATAAGAACGGGAAGACACAAGTGTGAAAATGGCCCCTTCCCGGGAAGGGTCCCTGTGCGTGCTTCATCGCTTTCACCACGTTCTGCATCGCAATCGGCCTTGTAATTGCATATGATGACAATGTCCTACGCCCATCACAGCATGCTCCCCTGCGTCGCCATGCTCAGTGCGATGGATGCGCCCATCTGTACTATGGGGTGCAGATTTGCTGCAGATGACAATACCATTCAGCGGCCAATTCATGCCCCTCGTGCGCACGCCCCTCATGTAACACTCAGCCAAAGCAGTGACCAGCCGCATGTGCTGTGGAGTCCCTGGTCCGCTGCCATCTCGGAACACGGGAATATTTGTCCTTGTGCCGGGGACAATGCCCCAGCTTTGAGTTTTCCCCGATATGGTGGTTCCTTGTAGCCAAGGCGGTTTCTGCACCGTATCACACGACGTACCTGCCACGCAGGTACATCCGCATCACTCCACCTCCCTTCTACCCCTCCCCTTCATTCTCAGGGCGCGGCTCCCGGCCGCGCGTCACCCCCTGGACCCCCGGCGGGGCCGTCACCAGGACGGGCGAGAAAAGGCTACGCCCCGCCGCCGCACGCGCGCCCCCTCCCGCGGCGGCCGCTCCGCCATCCGCCATGGCTGCCACAGGGGATGCGCAGGCCTCCACATCGGTGAGTAGGCTGCCCAGCGTGGCGCTGCCCACCATGGCGACAGGCCTCGATTGCTGCCACCCTGTGGGGCCAAAAGGAGGTGGTTTGCACCTCTAGAGAGCCGTGGCGAGGGTTTTTACTTGGAAAAGGGGGCAAACGACGGCTGGGTCGGGGTTTAGGGCCAGTCACTACAAGCAGGGTTGCTGATCGGTCGCGGGCGTGAGTGGCCGGGGCGCTCCCGTGGTGTCAGGGTGCTTGTGATCCGCAGCGCGTGGCGAAAGGCACTGGCTGCTGTGTCTTCGGTTGGGGGTGGTGGCGAGTGGGTTGGGGTTGGGGGTCGCTGTGGGGCCGGTGGTACTGCGTGGTCGGCGGGCTTCGGGCCTGCAGCGTGCAAGGTTGCTGTCGCTATTGTCTTTACAGGATGGTGCTCATGCGCTGATGTTAGTTGCGGAAGTAGTCACAGATATTGGTGTTGCACTGAAAGCTCCTATTTGGAACAAGGACGGAGTGGCTTGCTGCTGTCCAACTGCACCCACAACGCACTCAAGGGGCAGGGGAGTTATGGCCTGAAACGGGATTTGGGACAGTGATTGCTGAATCCTGCGTGCGGGTGGTACTTCAGGGGATTTTGTTGGCGGAAATGCAGTGGCGCATCTTGGTGGTCTTGAAATTTCAAGGCAGCTTATGCCCTTGGTCAAAGGCCAGGGGCAGCTGCCTCTCTGTCCAGATCGTACGCTGCAGACAACTACGGAAAGCATTGACCTGGATCGACAGAAACAGAATGGACCATGTGAGACACACTTTGGGGATGGGAAAGGGCAGGATTCCTTCCAAAAGGATCTTTCCATGCAGAGCAAGGCGTTGACTGACGCAACAGAAGTTTCACATGGCCCAAGAGGACCAGAAGCGCCTTTCCTAGGCGTTGTGGGTGCTGTTGTGGGTGCTAGTTCTCAGTTCCAGTGCTCAAACCGACCTTGTGGGAGGCAGCTCCTGGCAATACAATGCGTTCCAGAGCAAGGAGTTCAGTGGGAGGCGTTGCCCTTGGGAACCAAAGAACAAGTCTCCATCCCATAGCACGATAGTTGTAGAGCTTCAAACTCGTGTTGTGATCCATGGTTTATGGGAAGAATTCACCTACAAACCACTGTTCGTCAGTGCACATGCACTGAAGGGTATTGTGAGGCTCTTTGTGAGGCCGTTTGCGGGATGGGTACGCCTTTGTGCACATTGAACGTGTTTGTGGGCAGATTCTCGGTGCGAGACGGGCCATGCCGATGTTCATTCACCAGCGGTCTGCATGCCTGACCAAAGCATTCTGACCTTTCGCCAAGCAACACGATCGTGTTGTGGCGATTTGGCAATGGTTGTGTGTTCAAACTTCCCAGCCCTTCACCTGCAGAGACTGAGTTTTGAGCTGTGTGTGGGGGTGCAGGCATACACTTTGGACATCGCACACCCCCTCACCAGCAGACACAGCAGCGGTGTGTTCTGGGACACCGGGGAGTCGGTGCCAGAAGCCCAGGTGCGTGCTGACAGTGCTCAAGTGCATTTATTGTGCTGATCAAAAATTGGCAAAACACAGCCATTGTACCCAGATGGCCCTGGCAAGCCGATGTCAGGCAGGTGCCTGCACACAGAATGACCAGACGATGATCTCCAAGAGTGCCAGATGTGATTACCGTTCTGTTGAATGAAGCAAGTTACGCACTGCCTGACAGATTTGTGCTCTAGTGTGCAGCACCCATCCTGTTGCTTTCGTTTTGAAGATTCAACCACTGCCTCCAGGGCATCCCTGTAAGCCAAACTCAACACTAACATGCGAAAGCATTTGCAGCATGCAGCCAACAGCACAGTGTTGCAGGTGTCCAGTTTGACTCTCTTCTGGAAGTCACTGTCAGGGCTGCCTGGCTGAGGCACAGCCAGTGTTGCCAGTACGCATGGCGTAAACATCGCAGAACAGCAGCCACGGGGATTGGCAAAGTTACCCCATATGCCTCATGTTTACCCAGAACAACATCAGTGGTGTGAAGGTTGAAAACAACGGTGTTCGACCACATTGCATACTTGCTTCAGCCCTCTGGCATCCCTGTTGCTGACGTGAATCGGATAGCAAGAACTCCGACACTCTGATTCGTCTCCACCCCATGCACATGCTCCAGTTACAAGTGCAATCAATGCTCACCTTTCTATCCATTTTGCACAGGGTGTGGAGGACAGCCTGGGCCAGATTGTTCTCCCCGATTTCATCCACCATGTTGAAAGCACAGTATCTCTCGACACAACAGACTGCCTGCAGCCTTATATATCAAGAACTCTGCGCGATCTGAAGGTAGGCTCCGAGATGTGCCAACGTTTCCCCAGTACCTCGGTCTCTCCCAGAACGGCATTGGCTTGCCAGGCTGTGACAGGTACAGTCATGGAGGATTTCAGTTCCAAGCCCTTCATGATGTGGCCACGGGTTTTCTTTGCGATCACTTGGAGTGCAGGTTGCTATATTGCATACATTTGCACCTACCGGCACATGTTTTGTGGTTTCATGCCAAGTGGGCAGTACAGGCCCAAGGACCATGTTCATCTGCTTGCGAATTCTGGCATTGCTAGTGGTGGTGTCAACCGGGCCATCTCGCCTTGTGTGCCAAATGTTGCTGGTGTCCAGGCAATCGTGTCAACTTGCTTGCTGACCAAAGGTGCAAGAAGGTTCAAGCGACCTGGTAGTTGCCATTGGCATGTGCCTGTGGGGTAGGCAAACCTCACTTTTCAAGACAAACATCGCAGTCGATGCTGTGGGTGATGCAAGGTTGGAGCTCCTGATACTTGACCTTGCATGGGGTGACTCTCTTGGGTGTGTAGATGTACTCCCATACTTTGTGTTTGTGTCGTTTGCTGGACAGTAGGCCTGCTGGGCAGTTGCCATGCTCCTCACTTCTATTTTGCCTCAATGTGCTGCTGTTCTGTTCCATGATCAGAATTTAGATAGCTACCTTGAGAACCTGAAGGAGAGGGCATCTCAAAGGCTTGGGGAGTTCAGGTATGAACGGAAGTTGATGTCCCAGAAGAGGTCCAACATTGTGGCAGAGCTGCAGGAGGAAGTCGAGAGATTGACCCTGGAGAACAGGGTCATCAGGCACCAACATGATTGCCATGGGGTTGGGACTGAGTGCAATTTAAGGCAAGTTTCTCAGTTGGATGTGCTGGGCCAGTCCATTGCATTGATGCTTTGGTAACGAATTTTGCTCCTCTGCACACCCTATGTCTGTTGACACAAGCTCCATGCAACCTAGCAGCAGTGACGCTCTGAAGCCCCCCATTCATTTTGAATGGCCTGAGTAGCTGTTGAACTGAACTGTTGAGGACGGTTGTTGTGTGTGGGGCATCTTGCCTTTTTTGCTGCTTTGCAGAGATATCCAGTGTGTCCCTCGATACTGTTTTTATGAGGAGTCAATACTGTGTTCTTGCGGCCATGATGGTCTGTGGTGTATGCCAATAAGACAGCAGTGCTAACTTGCCACCTGAGTCTTCTGCATTCGCATCTCAGGTTGACAACTTATGTGGCCATATGCAATCTGATGGATAATCTGAATTACGGCTGCAAAATGGCAGCTGCACATGAAACCAGGGAGGCGAATCCTTCAAGAATATGTGCCATTGTGGGAGTTTTGTCTTGCCGCATATTGGTGCAATAGGATTCACTACATGGCATGGGTTGGCTTTCGACACCTCCACTCTTGAAACAGACTGCCCAGAACGCTGCAAAGCAAAGACATTGAACTGTGCACCAGTTGTGCAAAGTGTTCCAACTGAAGGCCACATTATGTGTGCAGTGCTACAGGTGCCCAGAAGTTTTTGGAGAGTTTGGCCCGCCTTGAGGCAGAAAAGAGGCGCCTTGTTGAGCAGGTCCACCAGAGGGATGTCATCATCGGAGACCTGGAGCACGAGGTGGTAGAGGCAAGGCAGCAGGCTGCCAGTGCTAGCAACACTGCGCTCTTGCTTGATGCCAAAGATCAGCAAGTGCAACAGCTACAGGATAGCCTGCTGGCAGAGAAACTGGCAGCAGCTGCCCTGGAACAGGAGAAGGCACATGCGGAGCAGCAGGTCGTGGCCATGCAGCAGCATGTTCAGAGGCAGAAAGGGTGTGAGGTCGACAAGAGGAGGGGGTTGGAGAACGCCAAGGTGTTGGAGCAGTTGAAGGGCAGGCCAGACGGGCAGCCGGCAAGCCCAGAGCCAGAAGGGGATGCCCAGGGTTCAGGCAGGGAGGGAGAGGCTGGTCCTGGCCCTGGCTTGGGCATGATGGCTGAGCTTGCTGATTTGAGGAGGCAGCTTCAGGTGCAAGCTGGAATTTTGGGCATGTTTCCAGTGATCGAGTTTGACGTCGGACTGCAATCCTGTTTGCCTTGACCTATGGATGTGGACAGTCCTGTGGTCCAGATAAGGTGGATGTGGAAAGTGGATGTGCTGATCTGTGACACAATGCACTAATCAGCCCATGAGATGTGCCATTTGAACGTGTCAACAAAGTCTCAACCCCTTTTGGTAGTAGATCATGGAGGTGTACCAGGTTGAAGAAGCTGCTTATTGTATGGGAGGTCTGCATCTAAATGTTGCTCCCCATTTTTACGGAACAATGCAACGATGTGACATAAACATGTGAGTACAGCCAAAGAATCAAGTGATTGTTGGTGGTACACAGATCAAAGATCAGCAACTGAAGGAAGCCTTGTTGGCCAAACACAAGCTCGAGGAGAGCTACAGGAGAGTGGCAGGTGACAATGCAGCGAGTTGCATCGAGGCGTACCGGTCACCAGTGATGCAGGCCAATGTCGCAATGAAAGAAGAGGTGGAGCTGTTGAAGGAGAGGATTGCTGCACTGGCAGCAAGGAAGCTTCTCAGCGGAAAGCATCCAAGGGGCCAACCGGGAAGGGGACCAGCTGCTTTTGAAGAATTGAATGTGGCATATGAGGAAATCGCTTGCCTTTATGACATTCGGTGCGGATTCTGGGGAAGATGACTGCTTCTTACCAATATGATGTGGTGCAACATGCTGGCGATCATGAGAAGCCCAATGGAAATTGCCCACCGCATGCTCTGTGAGCTGCCCTATACATTTGCGCACGGACCTTTGCCCCTCCCTGTTTTCATGCTGCAGCAGTGGTGATTCCAACAGGTGTGAGTCGATGTGAACGACAGTCCCAAGGTGCCCCACGGCGACGTGTATCAGAGGGCACATATTCTGAGCCATTGCAGTGGGGTAGCAGCAGTTTGAACTTTGCATCTGAAGCATATGTTCTGTGACAATGCATATGTGCCCAAACTCCGTTTGATGTGTCAAGATGCCGAAACCATGCCTGTGTGAGACCCATGAATGCAGTTCTGTGTGAACCATGCGGCTGCAGGGATGAGATCATGAGCGAATTGAATGCCCTCCGTGAGGAGGTTTTCAGCCAGCAGTCAATGAGAGGGATGGTGAAACTCGTTCGAGACGGGGAACTTGCGTCATGGCAGCAAGTGACCTAATGCGCCAAGGGAGCCATGTCCAACACCCTTCCCCATTCCCTCACACATCCCTGCAAGTTTCTCTTTCTATCCTTTGCAAATTGATTGAGCCGTGGATATCTCTTTGGAGAATGTCCACACACATAGCAGTTCAAAGGTCGACGCTCTTCATAGCTGCTGTCACTGTGTTGTGGTGCGGGTTGAAAGCAAGCTGGACGCCCACCCAGTGGTCTTGATTTTGTTCAGGGTCAGATTTCAACGGATGCTGCTGGTCGCGGTGCGATGCACTATTCGGTATGGTGTACTAAAATTTTTTCCCCCCAGGAGCCACCTATGGTCTGTGTGACTTCCTTACTCAATAAGTCAGTTTTGCAAGAACGCCGGTGGCGAATGGGGTGTAGGAGCTGCGGGGCCAACGAGTTTCTGTGAACGATGACGTGTGCATAGTGGGTGCACTGTATTATTGTTGGTCTAGGTAGCAAATAAGCAAGGCCCAGGATTGCAGGCATTGGTTGAATTGTACTCTCAGCAAGTGAATAACTGTCGGCTGGAACCGACTGGCTTCGATTCGTGTGGAGCCGAGCGATGATATAGCACTGCGCTGAGGTTAGGATTGAAATTGTGGCATGAAATGAATGGCTTCAAATTGGGCTGGCACGGGAAGGTTCTTGTGGGGTCAGTGACTCAGGCATCCTGATTTTATGGTACATGTATGGGCTGTAACGAAGCAGACGTTTGTAAAATGTGACCAAATTGTAGTTTGCAATCATGTGGTATATTCTTGATGGAAGTGGCGGATTGGCAGCGCGTGTTGGAGCCAAGGACCATATTTTTAGAAGGTAAACAGCTGTTGCCCAAGCGTTGCGTTCATCGCTATAGTTATGGAAACGAGAAGGGCCCACTTGGGAATTGGATGCAGCCATGTGCGGAGATGTGCACTCCTTGTGAATCGCCACTGAAGATTGTCCGCGCAAAAGAAAAAGGAAAGCGTGTAATGAACTGTGTACCCCTCTCCTCGACGACACCACTGCGTGTGCTCCAGCTTTGGTGACCAAAGCTGGAATGTTAGCCGATTGCCCAAAATTTGTTCAATCGACCGACGTTCCTGTTGATACGAGAGCATCATCGGAATGATGAGCTGGGCCAGCTCGGCTCCAGATGACGATGTCTGAAGCACTTACTAAGCCCCATATCTAGGGCAAGTTGAATCTCGCACCAAACCATCTTTGTGGCATCCGAAACCTTATTTCCACCTGACCGGTCTCCTGAACCCACCCGGTCATGTTCCCCACACGACAACACATTACAACAAAGGTGTCCATCACCAACAACTCCACATACCCGAGGTCCCCGTACTTAACAGTTTGCCCTTTCGCTTCGCCCTTACTTTACTTCACGTTTCTCCTGTGACAGCAACCCTGAGTCACCCCTTCCCCGTTCTGTCATCCACTCCTTCCCGTTGTCTCCCTCAACTCAACCGAACTCCACTCTCTAGGGCGGGAGGGCTGGGTGCGAAACAAGATAGGAGGGGGACCGAGGGGAGAGCTTAAATAGCCGCCCCCGCTCAGCCCCGCCAAAGCCCGCCAAGTCCAAGCCGCCAAAACGGGCGGACCCTTGGACACTCCGTACTTTGACTGACCCAAGGTACTAGGAAGGGCCAGAAACCCGTTTGAATACGATTGCGCCTGATTCGAAACTCGGCGCAACCCACCCAACGTCGTCCTGGGTGGAAATCTATTAACAGGATGTTTAATGTCATTTCCACCTGACCGGTCTCCTGAACCCACCCGGTCATGTTCCCCACACGACAACACATTACAACAAAGGTGTCCATCGCCAACAACTCCACATACCCGAGGTCCCCGTACTTAACAGTTTGCCCATTCACTCTCCAAGGGCACGGGAGGCACCTCCGGGGCAGAAAATGTGCCCAAACTGGGCGTGGAGGTCGCGGGCGGTGATCGTCATCCACCCGAACAAACGAAAGTCCCACTCAGTGGGTAAACGAAAAATGTCCACGTACGACCACATGGAGTCTGACTTCCAGCCACCCCAGTCCCGAATGCGCCGCTCGGCGACCTCCAAAGCGAAGCAGCTAGACGCACCGCCACCGCAGAGGCCATGGTGCGTGAAAGGTTCTCGAGCGATGGTCGGGTGCTTGGCCAGCAAGTCCGAAAACCAAGCGGCCACCGTCTTGGAGCTGGGGGACGCCTCGCCCGGAAGGCGGTAGAAATGGCGAGGCGCTTGGTCCGTCTGGGCCCAGGCGCGGTCGCGGAAAGACGTCCATCGAAGAAGGAGATCCACGACCTCCGGGGCGCCTTGGGTCGGCCAGGACCGAAAACGCAATCGAGGGGCCGCATCCTTGTGCAGCTTGGATTTGCGTTCCCGAAATAAAACGACCCCGTCAGCTATCCGAATGTCCTCCGCGAGAACGAAGTGGCCCGATTGCAACAGCCTTTCGTGCAAAATGTTGGTAAGGTCCGAAAGGCTGCACTTGTGCGCAACATCACGATTATGTGTTTTTTGGGCAAAACGGTTGTGCTCAAGATTGGCTGTCAGAAAACAAGGAAATTTGTGCGCAACATTGCCATTTCTGAGTGCACAAAAAGAGAAGAGGATGCATGTTCTGTTGTTTTCCGTGACCCCCTTCCCGACATTTTGCACGAAAGTTAGTTTTGCGCCCGGTTGAAAAAGATGTAGTCGATGTACGCCGCGCACGCTGCCCGAAGGAAGGCCCCGTCCTCCGTGGTCAATCCCACATCGAGGATGCGAATCATCACCTCGATGGGCACAGGGCGGTGATGTTGCACGGGGGCTGGCATATCCCGGCGCCATGCGCGGGTGAGGACGCGGGTGACCGGGTCGAAAGCAGAAAAGCCAAGGTGCCCAGACATATGGTGCACCATGGAGATGGCCGCGAGATACTGCGGCAAAGAACGAACGCCCACCTTGCCTTCCTCACGTAGGAACCGAATGTAGCGGTAGATGGTGGCGCAACGAGCGGGCAGCGGCTGCAAGGCATGTGCCTCGCAAAAGGCCTGGAAACGCAGGAACTTGGCCTGCATAGTCCGCCGGGTGGCCTCCGTATAGGAGGCAAGAAACTGTTGTGCCATCCAGCTCCGATCGTCCGCCAGCAAGCCATCCACTTCGGTGCCGTACAGCGGATGGTCCTCGGGGACCGGTTCCAAGGGGAACGGATCCGAAGGAGGCTCCCCGGCGAGAGGCGCCGGAGCTTCCGGTTCGCTCAGAGCGTCATCGCCAGTGGGGTCCGCAGGGTCGTCGGGTGCATCCTCGGCGCCACATGGAAGGCGCGCAAATTCCAGTGCGGAGGTGGAAGGGAGGACGGGAGGCTCGGATCCCCGGGGAGAAAGAGGTTGGGCTGGCGGGGGATGAAGATCTCGGCCTGCGCCATTGCCCGGAGGCGGGGAAACCAAACCGCGCTCGGCCAGTCTGGCGCGAGCACCACTGCATCCAGTTGCGGCCTCGAGGCGAGGAAGGCGACAAGCCTCGCGAGGAGGCTCCACGGGGGATTGCACCAGCTGCGCATCCCCGTCCAGTTCTGTGCGAAGGCGTCGACGCCCGACGTACCCACATCCCAATGTTGACTGTTGTAGGCCGCGCAGAGGGCATTCCGAGCGGATGCAAATCGGTCCACTGAACAGGCCCCGAAGCGGTGGACGACCTCTTGGAATATGCGCGGATTGAGCCGGTAGTCCTCCGAAGTCCGTATACGCGAAAGCCTGTCCGGAAGGACATTGTCCGCTGACCGAATGTACTCGGGCTCCAGGAGCAACTTCCGCGTCGCACAAATAGCTTGCAACTGGCGAAGGGGCCTCAAGAGACCGGCTGACTTGGTAGTCATCGAGTTGAGGCAGTGGAGAACCACCTGGTTGTCCACAAGCAACCGAAGCCGGCGAGAAGCGGTCCTGGGGCACCGGCGAGGAAAGAAAGACAGCAGGGCCAAGTATACGGCCTGCATTTCACGGACATTGATGTGAATGAGCTCTCGATCAAAGAATCCGCGAGCAAGAAGGGGTTGATCACCGCCCAGAGGCGTAAAAGTGGCCCCCCAGCCGGTGAGGCTGGCGTCCGTAGCTAAGGTGCCCACCAGCTCCAAGGAGGCGGAATTGAGCGACCTGCCCACCAACCGACCGATCTGGGCCCAGGCGGCCAACTCCAAACGAGCCGCGGCGGTCAAACAGAGCCGATCTCGCCAAGAACGTTTGCCGCGCAAAAGAGAGTATAGATCCGTCAAAAAAAACCGTGCCAATGGAAAGGCCAAGTACAAGGAAATGGTGGAGCCATAGAACTTGGCCAGATCCCGAGCAACAATGAAACCCCGTCGACTAATCTCCTGGGCCCGCTGCGAAATGGCCGCAACCTTGTCCGGAGGGACCTGAAATTGGCACTGATTGGTGTCGATCATAATCCCCAGATGCTTCTTGCATTGGACCGGCTCCCACTGACACTTGGACTCCTTAAAAGCGAGGCCAAGAGTGGCGAAAACCCGGCGGACCAAACTGGACCATTGGGTGAGCCGCTGAGGATCCGACATGGCAGCAATGAATCATCTAAATAGGCCAAAATCAGCACGGGAAGCTCCCGCGAGTACTGGAGATAGTACTGGAGAATGGAATCCTCCCCCGCTAATCGACCAAAACGAAAACGAGTGGCAGCTTTGGGACAAGAGCTGGGGGTCCTTAAGAAACGGACCACTACCAACATGAGCTGCGTGAAATAAAAGGGGGAGAGGGCCAAGCCAAAAGGAAGCGCTCGGCAAGCAAAGGTCTCCCCACCCATGCGAAATTGAAGAAAATGCTCTTGATCCGCCCTCATCCGAATATGATGATAAGCGTTTTTGATGTCGAATCCCACCAAGTAATCATGTTTCTTCAGCAGAAATCCAAAATCGCGCAGTTTTTCATAACGAAGACCAACCTTCTTGAGATGGCGATTGATTCGCCGAAGATCGATGATGAGCCGGTATTTGGTCTTGCTCTTCTCCGCCGGCTTGGCCACCAAGAAAGCGCGCGAAATCCGGGCGTCGGAAGAGGGGTTGGTCCGGACGATTGCCCCCGTCTCGAGGTACTCGTCCCGCAGTTCCCGCCATGCTCGCCATTCCTCCGGGGTCGTCAAGGGGTATTCGCCCTGATCGAAGGGGGCCGGAGGGCCCATCGGGCCCCATTGAAGGGGGGCTCCGGTGTGGATCCATTGCAAGACTCGCGAAGGCGCCCCGATGCGGCGCCACCAGGAGAGACGGCCCCGAAGACGAGCGTACGGAGGGTCCTCTAGGCGGCGGGTTTGGGGGGCTGGGCCGGAGCGTTGGGGCCCGCCTGCGGCTTGGAACTCTTGCCCTTGAAGTGGCGAGCGTTGGAGGTGGACGCGCCCGCAGGATTGGGAGCCGGAGCGGCGCGATCGAGGTTGGCCTGGTTCTTGGCGGCAGCCGACTTGGTCGCCAACTTCAACTGCTGATTGAGGACCTCCTTGCGTATGTGCTCCAGCGGCTCGTCGATCAAAGGATCCCAGAAGCGGCGATGAACGGCGCCCAGCCGAACGTTGGTCTGGAGCGCGCGCCACAACCCGTCGAGGGACGTCCCCTTGTGCTCCCCGTGCACTTGTTGGAGACGGATTAGGCTCTGCAATCTTGTCGTAATCGTCACCTGGGCGTGGAGGTACAGCAAGAGGACGTCCCGAAAGATGGGCGGGAATTCCTGGTGCGCCGTGAAGTCGATCAAGGCGGCCGTGAGGTTGAAGAGCCACGCGACGTAGGGCGCCCAGTTCTGGTACTCCTGGAAGTAGCCGGAGTTGGTCCCCAGCGCCTGCGCGAGCTGTGCGCCTTCGGAAGTCCGCCTCACGTCGAACCACTCAGGAAAACGGACCCCCGGAGGTCGGACCACCGGGTTGGTGACTGACCGCGGAAGGAGACGGGGGTCCGGTAGCCAGACGGTGTCGAGAGAAGCCGTAGGCGGACCATCGTTGAACCGGACGGCTTGGTCTTGAAGCCACTGCTTCGCAGGTGTCCGGGTCATAGAAAGAACTCGGCCAAGACGGCCGGGGAGGGCAAGGCACTCGGTGCCTTCGGGTTGTGCCAACAAGTGGCGCGAAGCGAAACAAGATAGGAGGGGGACCGAGGGGAGAGCCTAAATAGCCGCCCCCGCTCAGCCCCGCCAAAGCCCGCCAAGTCCAAGCCGCCAAAACGGGCGGACCCTTGGACACTCCGTACTTTGACTGACCCAAGGTACTAGGAAGGGCCAGAAACCCGTTTGAATACGATTGCACCTGATTCGAAACTCGGCGCAACCCACCCAACGTCGTCCTGGGTGGAAATCTATTAACAGGATAGTTAATGTCATTTTTTGCTTGCCGTTGCATTCACGTTCTTTAACTAGGAACGAAAGTGCTTAAATGCTGTTTGGGCCCCTGGACACAAGAACGGGAATGGATGTCGTTCCGTTCCCGTTCTTTGTCAGCTTCTGTTCTAGGTCGGCCCATCTCTGCTTCAGGGGAGCTGCGGCGGATGCTGGGCATGCAACTTAGCAAGTGCTGTTCTTGTGACCCCTTCACCGATTCGCGCATCTCACTGGTGAATGCCGCTGGGGCTGACAGTCCAGTGAGTACCTCCTAATCTGCAGCTGACGGTGGCCTCCTTGCACCGATTTGTAATTTATGTTGAAGAGAATCGAGGGCTAGCAACGTCGCGCTGACACAGCACGGCCGTCGTCTGTTCCGAGAGCGGGATTGGCCAAAACTCATTAACTGTAAGGAATTCTCAAACTCTATTTGTTTTGCGTTGCTCCCAGCAACACACGATGCCTTCTGGTCGATTTCCATAGGAAACGAAGCAATAATTTAAATTCAGAGATGAAACTCACAGTTATCTATCGAAATTGTATGAAAAACGAAGGTGCAAAAGCTGTATATCGAAGCATAGTCAGATGCGTTTTCATGTTCATGGAACCCGCAACTTTATGTGGCATACGGATCAAGGGCTATTTGGGCCACTCTCAAGTGGGTGCGCTAGGTACTTCATTTCTTGCGGATAGGCTTGAAGCAAACAGAGCTCTACATGCGAAATTTGCGCGCCAATATCGTCGCAAATGTTCTGTGGCCGGGTACTTTCCTCCCAAGGCAAACCAACGCCGCAGCACCTGCTGCCGATGCCTTATCTCATTGGACATTAGTCGGCCGAGTTTCGGAACTCCAGATCGACTGTCAGAAAGGGATATGGATATGCGCCAAACGCAAGAGAGTCGATCTGATTCTCCATTATTGCTTGTGTGCAAGCCAATTCACTCAAATTAGCTAGTGAGAACAATGAAGGGAATGGAACCACGTTCCGTGGGTGAGCAAACCTCTTCCCCTAGTAATTCCCAATTGGAAACGTAGCAATGGCCCAAGCAAAGTGTAGCAACTATGACCTCCTGCGCAAAATTCCGAGTAGAAACAGTGTTTGCACATCTTGCTTGCCTGTTTTGCGCCTTCCAATACTGCTGCCACGCCATCAGGGCTCTCTTTGACGCCCTCTCAGATCCAGGCAAACAAGGAGACCCCACTGCCAGCCCCAAGTTACAGAGCCACTAAGGAGCAAAACGATATGGAGGTGCATACACAACTTCACTCTGGCCGAATGTCCTCCAAGACCTAAGTGCATGCGCACGACTCCCAGTCATGCGCCGAAGGCCTCAAACAATCTTCTTGCCCGGTCTTTGAGTGAAAGAACGTCTGGACTGTGCGTTCTGTCAAGTGAGCTCCCTGGATAGTCCCTGCTATTCGCCACAGGCTCAGCCTTCGTGTCCTTTACAAAGCTTGTGGGAGACTCGCTTCCGGAATGGACGCCCTGGGGACCGGCCATCAACGAACGCCTCAAGCCATTGAGTCACCAAAAGCTTGCAGCGCATTTCGGACGTCAGCACATCAGATTCGGAATTTTTGACGATCAGGCTGCCCTGAGGGTTCGCGCTATGCCATTTTTGTGGCGCTTCATGTCAACTGGGCTGAGCTTCCCCACACGCCACCCACCCACCCACCGATCACCCACGACGTCTACCATTCTGTTGATGCCAATCTGCAATTTCCAACAGCACGTGGCAAGAGTGCGGTAGATCAGGGGGGAATAGAGGGCCCTCGAGGCGCACCTCCACCCAGCCCACCCACCCACCCATCCGTCCGCACTATTCGACATTCCCCGCACTATACTCCGTGATCTCAGGTATTTGAAAGCGCGACACGGCATCTCAGTACAATGCGAATTGGCCAGTATTTGGGTCAGATTCACAAGTTTAAGCGCTTGCTTTCGCGGCGGCGCTGCTGACCTTGATTCACCAGATGAGCGACTTTACTGCAGTGAGGCGATATGTGCATGAAAATTGTATACAATGCAGTGTTGGTGAAGCAAATTGCAGTAAATAAATGCCACGCTTGAATGTCAAACGAGAGTCAAGCTTAGCAATTTTTAATGGAAATTGGTGACGATTTTAACGGTTTAGATGTTACCACCGGACGCATCGGAACACGAAAGAGCAAGTGTTTTGCGTCCATTTTTGCACCTGGCACCGAAGCATTGCACTGAATATCCCAGACATTTTCGGGAGTGACGGCAGTGCAATAAAACACACCTCAAACTCAATTTCACGCTCTCGCGATGAGTTCAGGGGATTGTTTCAAACTGCGAGCGATGGTTCAGCGTCTCCTGCCAATAAAACCCTCCATTCACCCCGCTTGAACCATCGCTAAAGTGTTTTCAGCCGATCAAATCATGCATTAGTTCTCCAGAACGCGGCATAATCAGGCAAAGTCATAGTCTCCCCTCTCTTCCATTTCCACCAGTGTCTGGTGGCACCGGACGCCACACTGCGGCGCATGGCGCATCCTTCCGCACCTGCTTCGTGTATAACTTCGAGCGCTCACAGCCAGGTTTCGCCCCGAGAGATTGCCGGGCCAGTTTCTGTGCGGGTGCCGACGTCATCCGGGACAGGCCGCCAGCTTTTGGAACCAGCAGAGCCTGTGGGCGCTCCGGGAACCAGGAAGCCAGTTCGCCATCGCCAGCATGGTCCCATGGGCGAGGCTCGTAGTCGCCACCCCAGTGGGAGCCGGCCGAAGCATCCCGGCCACTTTGCAAGTTGTGTGCCTGCGACTTGGTATTCTTTCCTGCACGGCGGCTTTGATGGCCGGCTTTGGAACCCTTTCGTCCTCTGGAATCTTTATTCCCGTCAATGCCCCTGAGACAATGGGACATTCAGGACTTTTCCTACATAGCGCGATGCTCAAAACGCCATTGTAGGGGTTTACCATTGATGCAATTGAGGCAGACACGCAAGTTCCTGGCACCCTGCTGACCGCCGAGAAGAGCGGCCCAGCACCAGTTTCATCATCACTGTCTGACAATGCGGAAGCCATTCGAGGATGCCCCAGGAATGCAACGGTGATTCACCGAGCAGCCCGTACAGCCATCATTGCATCGTGATAAATTGGGTGGAGATGTTGTCTCATCTGTTGGGGAGGGGGCGGCGCCCGGCTATTGAATGCAGCCTAGCAATGCGGTATCAAAAAGAAAGAGCGGGCACCGTTGTGGCATTCAATTCAAGAAATGTTGCATACAAAAACAAGGAGATCGGATCCCTATTTTGCCTGAGAAAAGCAGTGTCCATCATTTGCTCACTGATATTGCACCGAGGAAATCTAGAATGCATCCATTGACATTCGAGCGGCGCATGAACTACATCAACGCACAGCAGGGGCTGGGGCCACTGGGTGTGGACTGGACAATCGTTCACTTAAGTGAGTCAGTGGCTAGTGTGCTGCCAAACGGCTCCTCATGGTTTCAATGAACTTTGCCGGCACTGGATTGGATGCAAAACTTTGCAACATGCGATGGCCTCGTCGCTGCCATGGGAGCATTTCGCTGACATTTCGACAGCCACAACGAAAGCGCTGCAAAGCCCGCCGGAAATGGAGGACAACAGGTTGGCATGTGTTTCGTCTCCATCAAGTTCTTTGCTGTCACAGATCATCGAATAATGTAAACATGCCCGGTCTTTAGCCCGCCCTTACTGCTCGTCTTCCAGGCGGACCGGACCGGGCCGCGCGTTTTCGACGGCGAGGCACCCGTGGTGTTGCGGAAACTCCTGGATGCGCATGGTATGCCGAACAACCCAGGGGTGGTGGAGCAGCGACTCCGCAGACGGTCTATCCTCCGGGTCCTTCTCCAGCGCCTAAGGAAACAAATGTTCTGTTCGCGGAATCTCAACCATCATTGCAATGGCCAAACCGCCCTGTGGTGCAAAAAGGGTACGAGGCCGGAGTGCCAAGTACGGAGGTGCTCAACCGCATAAATGTTTCACTAGTTGATGCATCCAAATGCATCACTACCTTCGCATTGATGACATTACTTTTAAACTTGGTGGCACCAGCATCAATAGACTGAGGCGGACAGCATACATCCATTACGACTTCATTCAGTATAATTTGTGGCTAATGTTGCGCTTTGCGTCTTACTTGAACACGGCCCATATCCCTAGTGCACGGTCCCCAGAATCAGGTACAATTTAACGCGGTTTCAAAAAAATAAATAAACAATTTCTGGCAGCAAAAAGGCAGGCCATGTGGCGCCAGCTTGCGCCTGGAGGTGTGGGATAGAACGGGACGCAAGCCCCATTGCGCGGGTGCATAAGAACGGGTACATCTTGCACTGCGCAAACCACGAGAGGTTTGTCCGATACCGATAATATCTGGATGTGAAGGTCATGGGGATGATGACAGGTACGACGGCCCTAAAACTCAAAAGACTAGAACCCAAATCAGCAATGATATTGACGACCTCTATGCCCTGAAGCGAAGATTATTAGACATTTGTGGTGCAAGACAGACGGGGCAGGCTCAGACTGTCTCAGGATTACTTCGGATGATTCCGGGATGGTTCTGGCAACTCGGAATTCCCTGTGCGAGTGTACACAAAAGGTGCCATGAGCGTCGGTGTGGTGTGAAACCACTTGGGTCCAAAAATGCGGGCATGTCTCAAGACTCTGCGTTGCACCTTGCAGACGACCGTCTGCAACTTTCGAAGAAAGTGTTCCTTACCAGCGCATGCACTCGGCTGCGCAGGGCGCCAGTGTTGAACGCAGATCGTCGCAGGGACATGGATATGATAAATCAAAATAGACAAAGTGGATGAAAGTGGGAATGGAACAGGAGAATATGACAAATAACGAAAAGAGAATAGAATTGTTCCTGGATTCATTGAGCCAAAAAGACGGAAGAGCATGGAAAGACTACACTGGTGCTGTGATTACAATATTGTAATCCGTCTTTTCTGATTAATCCGGACGCCAGGCTTCCTTTTGAAGCGTACATTTGAAAGGGAAGGTTCTTCCCCACACATGAGAAGACAACTGGGGGCTGGGGAGGCGGAGCAATTATATGATTGCATTGTCGAACAGTGATAAAGACGGCCCGCAAAGGCAATTCCAGGGCCCATGGATGCACATCAAACACCCAGCGCACGACCCGCGCAATGCAAGCGTCCGACCTAAACTGGGGCGGGGCGGGATTGGGGATTTGTGGATCGCGCCCAAAGCGAATTCACCTGGCTGATGAAGCTCCTGCATGCGCTCGAAATTCCCTGGGGCCATGCCTCGATGAGCGACTTCGTTATTCTCTCGGAGGTGACTGCAACGCTTTCCACCTCGAACGGAGGCCGCCCCGCCAGCAGCTCGTACACAAGGACGCCCACGGCCCAGATGTCGACCTTCTCGTCGTAGTGCGCCCTTGAGGGTGTCGGTCCGTCATCCGGCACCGGTGCTGACACCACCTGGCACGTGATCCAGTTTTGCAAATTCACTTAATGTAGCGAATGCATGCCATTTCGCCGTTGGGGCGATGTCGCTTGCCGCACATAACCCCACATGTGCTTACCGCAACGCGCCGGGCAAAAACACCATTGAGAGCGTATAATTTCGTCCAACTTAACGATTTGCACCACCGGTGCACATTTTATAGCAATGGACACATGGCTAATGTGAATATAGTACTTCGTTCGCTGCAGACTACATTTCATGATTGAAGCGTCCTTACGTACTTTTAGAAATGGGGTCAAACGTTCAACAGGGGTCTGCTTCAAAAGATCAGATACCAAACACGTTGGGCAGCCCTGAAACTGAAAAAATAGCTGCCCTTCCCATTCCCCTTCTGGCAAATTCGTGTGGCCCTGGTGGAAGAAGCCATGTTCCAAGAGATCTCTTTTCACAACCGTTTCTTCCCATCGCCGCCTCTCCAGGATGGCTGCGCCATACTCAGTCAGAGAGGTTTCTCTATACACAACCGTGCAGTCCTCGCTCGAAAAGGGGCCGCCCGACATGGCGATTTTCAAAGGAGGTAAGAACCATTGAAATCTCACCCTTTATTAACCAGAGTCCTCCTGGCTCACAGCACTGCCGGACGCAGGCAACGGGGATTTCGGATTTGATGCGCCAGGACTCGTAGTCACAATTGTCGGAGATTTTTGGTTGAGAGTCGGCTATTTTCGGATGTGAAGATAACGGCGCGAGGATAATTTCGACAGCTGATTTTTGAAGCAGGAAGCCGTAGCAGCAAATATAGAAGAGAAAACTCTGGCTACCAAACACCGCAGATAGTTAAAGAGCCGCACGTGCCCGCACACATATCCTTTTACTTATAACTTTGATGGTTCCATGCAGCAGCACTTGACGTCGTGTTGCCCCACACGGAATGGGGGCAATTGCTGACATGCTATGGCACCGTTGCTGGCCATTGCAGGGCTCAACATTCAGTCAAGCAGAGGCACAATGAATGCACAGGGGTTGATCAATGCAATTCAATGCCACCCTAAGGTAGTACCTTCAGGGTATACAAGGTTTGTATAATTTATTGTTTATTTATTTATTCATTGCGAAAACCGCACTCTTGGGGATTTCATCACGTGTGGGCATGCTTGGGGCAGAAGCTGGCCTATCAACTGGTAGCCTGTCTGTACCATGCTCCTCCTGGTGCGACAAGAGACATGGACATTCTCTCCAACTGAATACAAAGACAACAGCTATCCCAGCGCACCAAGGGATTCCTGTTCTGTTGTGTGACGTCCAAGGCCTGAGGTGTCTGGCGTCTGTGTTACAGAACGTGCGTCACATCTTGCAAACCGTCACATCTTCAACTTTCCGCATTGGAAGATCACTTTTTTTCTGACAACAGTTCAATATCAAGACCGTCAATAAGCAGAAATTAAAAACAGCTAGCCTTCAATATGATGCCCATTCCTCCCGGGATGTGTGCCAACATCATTGAGTATGATAGCCTCTTGCATATTCCAGATTGTGTTCATACTCAACAATGCAGAGCCCATCACATGCCTGTGTCTCGGGCAATGGTTTGCCCCAGGACCTGCTGATTCACATCATTTACTTTGTCCAACACAACCACTGCCCTTCACATCGTCTCCAAGGCCATAAATAAGCGTGCACGGAACCGAGGCATGCTTCCAGTGCCGCACCTCTGGCGCCATGTAGTCCAGTGTCCCCACTCTCATCTTCACTGGTTCTTTGTTCATGTCCACCGCCAGCCCAAAATCACCCAGCTTCAGACTCCCTTCGGATGTGAAGAAAATATTCTCTGGCTTGACATCTCTGTTTCAACGTCACAACCCCTCAATGGACAATCAGCAACAACCTCTTGCATCCCCACAATTTTCTGTTTGACGCACTAAAGATCCGGATGTGCCAGTCGTGAACAGACTCTGTGCTGCTTCTTGCGGAAGCCAAGAAAATGAATTCAGCACAGCTGCGTGCGCTGTGCCACTGCCTGCACATTGCACCTGGGCTCAGGGGTAATCAACAAACAACATCCAGTTGGATGAGGTGGTTGGAATGTCAAATGACAATGTGCTAAGTCTTGGCTGCAAACCACTTTGATTGCGGGAATCCTGAACACTTGTTGGATGCAGATGCCCCCATCAACTGTTTCAAGGAAGGGTATTATTTAATACTTTGCCACACGCGGGCAAACTGCAAATTGCCAAATAAATTGTGTGCATTGCCAAACAGCCACCCATTCGTCCAGCACAATGCCAATTCGGATTATGGCGCAGCGGCATCCAGGTAATGAAGGTTCCCCTTTACCGTGGCAAGGGAATGTCCGCATCGTGTGTCACACAATGGTGTGCACAGGATGCAAAATTATAGCCAACTTCAACTAGCTGGGAGATCGGTCCCTAGGCACTTGTTCGTAACGGAGTGCACATTGCACAGCTTGCTTCTTCTGTGCTGAAATGCGATGTTCATGTCTGTGCCTCCGATTCAGAATCTAAGTACGCAAATCCTCACATCCTATCAGGAGCAATGCAGCAAACCTAATTGCAAAAGCCCCCCGCAGCGATGGGCACCCACTAGTGTGTGCGATTCCGCAAATGAGGACACCTGTAAGGCATTCCAGAAGGAGTGTGCCAAATACGGCACCAGAAAACTGTAGTGCCAAGCTGATAGCTGTGATTTCCAATGAGAGCACCAGAAGGACATTTGAATCCAATTGCCATGGTGGGCAGGAAGCTGCACTCAAATAAGATGACATCAAACTGTAAACTGAACACATTTCAAGGAAACATGTGACAATGCTGGGAAATTCCATGTCCACATAAAATGGCTACCTTGGTCTGCGCATGATCACTGCTTATGCCCCAGTGCTGACGCCCCAAATTGCGAATCCGTAATCAATTCGTGTGAGTGGAGTGTCTTTCTGAAAATGTTGACTGGCTTGTGGTATACTTAACAGCACAATATAGACACTACATCAGCAATGTACCGCTTTACAGAGCCGGGCCGAAATTTGGCTCCTAACTCCTCCAGTGGCTTTCACAAACTTCGAACCAGTGAAAAAGGCCAGATCAACATTTTGGTGTCAACAGTATTCTCTGCATGAGCCCTGAGCCTGGCTGGGTTTGCTGCATTACTGGAAGCACACGTCACCTGTGCACGATGCCCTTGGAGTGTAGGTAGTTGAGCACCATCAGGAGAGGTGAGATGACCTGTTTGAGCATGCCAACCACAATATCAGCCTCTGTGCCTCCACAACTACATGCCCCCCAAGTTACATTTTCTGCAACAACATCAACATGAACATTGCGAACACCACGAATTCCAAGCTCTTTTTTCATGGTCAAGGGCAGGAGGCAGGGTGGCTCTGAGCTCAGTGCTCGGTGGGCGCTTTGGCAGTTAAAGAGTGCATATCTGCCAAGAGGGTCAGACAAAACCTATGTACCTTGCAGCCGATGGCAGGGGCATTGGATGGATACATCTTCCTCACACCACGTGCCGCAATTGCAGCACCCTAGGAGCAGCGGCAGCTGCAAGTCAAACCAGAAGCCCATTTCAATACTGCACCCGTCTGCATATGGGGCCTTCATCCAGTCGCCTGCCTTGACGGATGAATTCCTGGAACAGGTCACCCCTCACACAGTACTCCGCAACCAGGTGAATTCGATCGTCGTCCTCAAACTCCCCAAGATGGCGCACAACACCTGTGAAGCTAAAGAAGGCACTGCATCAGCCCGCTAGGTCAAAACGCATGCATGCATCGTTGACAAAGGCAATTCTGGCCTCACTGAGGATGGTATGCCAGTCTGTTGATGTCTGGGGATCTACTAGCCTCCATGTTGTTTGACTGCTAAGATCATTGCCAAGGCATCTTGACAACTTGCACATGGGGAACACGCCCTGAGTAGGTGATGCTCAGAAACTGGTGCCAACAGTCATTTTAAGGCACATTCACACCAGAGTGGTATTTCACAAGCACATGTCACAGTGGACGAAGACAGAATAGCATGGTTGTGCCAAGCAGGGCAATGAAACTGCATACTTCAGGTGTCATCAGCAGGGTATGCATGTTGACAATTCAGCCAGCAGCCCCTGTACTGCACCTATGATGCATGCGCTTGCTTTTCACTGCGCATCGCCTTCCAAGTGCAACAACAATGTGTTGGCATGCTGTGGCAGCAACAGAGTCCAAGGATATTCACATGGGGAACCACAGTCAAGCAGGCAGTACCCTTCGCACGTCATCATTCTCAGTATCTCAATTTCTCGCTGAACGTTTTTGTAGTGCCGTTGGCGCATTTTCTCCTTTACATAAGATTTCAAAACCACTTGGTTGCCAGTGGCATTGCATGTGGTCACAGCCACTTCGCTTTGCCTGTGGTGCAGTTTCACCTGTCAGACTTGAAACCACCTCGCAGCATGTCTGCCCACCAGACCACCACAGTGTAGCATGACCAGGCCATTGTTAAATTGGGGTGGAACTATGACGCTTAAATATGACAAAAAACAGCTCTAGATGGCAAAAAACAGGCCACTGTCAGCAAGACTTGTTCAGTTGCTGAAAACAAGAGTTGTCTTTGAGAATGCACAGTCATGGAGCATCGAACAGGAGCCATGACTGAAAACAGTCTATGAGCAGCGCCAACAATGTAATGAAGCAAGTTGTCAAAATGGCATGTGCTCTTGGTAAATGGCCACGTCCATTTGCTCCCAAAATGTCAAATTGACAAGCTTGAATATCACATTATTGCTGCAGGTGCTGGTGCAGGAATGTGGGCAAAGCTATCTGCAGGTGTTTTTCTGTGTCATGCATCCTATAAGACAATTCTACCTGCACCTTTGCACCCAACACATAATGTGTTGATGTGCCAGTCACATGCTGCAAGCCACCAGATCAAAACAACAATGGAACATTGAAAATAATAGCCCCTAAGATTTGCATTGGCATTATGGAGGTTTCAAACTATACTCCAAACTACTAAGCTCAGGTTGCCAGGAACTGCCAGGTCTGCACCATTATGGTTGCCTTGGTCACTGGCTGCCAGGTCACTGTTTCTGCAGGTATCCACACCAATATCCACAACGATACCCCTCTTCGGCTTTAATTATCGGCTTTTAACGATTCGCCGTTGCAGATGTCTGGCTGGTGCCGGCCAAGGGACAATGGCAGAGGGCAAGGCCATCCTCAACATGTGCGCCGCAGGCATGGATTTCCGTTTGCGCTCGCCCTCCCCCAAGCCCCAACTTCTTCCTTTTATTTCAATCGACTCAGCAATACTACATGTCAAGTCAAGGAGGCAGCATTCACCCCGGTTTTCTCCGCCACAGGCAAGGAGCCCCAATTAACCGTTCAACGACAACCCAAATCAGCTCTGCAACAGCGCCCCGACTCCAGCGAACTTCTCAACCCAATCCCAGTCCAGTCGCGCACCACGACGGCCAACTCCGGCCCCCAAGGGACGCCACACGGCCCCGCCCACCTGCCCTTGTAGATCACGGCGGGATCCCGAAAGTCGTCCACGGACGCGTACTCCACGCCGGGCTCCTCCGGGGCCCCGCACTCCACGCGGGGCAGCCACATGGGCTCCGCTCTCCTCGCCAGGGTGAAGCTCTTCGACAGGGCGTCCGCCTCGCCCCACCGGCGGCCCTCCAATCTTGCACAGCCGAACAGCGCCGTGAGATGACGTCTGCCCATCGGCGCCAACGCCGTGGCCGATCGGGCGAACGGGGCTGGCCGGAATCGGTGAGCAAAGAAGGAAAGGAGATCGTGCCGATGGTCGCCGGAGGCAGAGGTCCTCACCCGTCGCCTTCGGGTGATAACGCCCCGCTCGGCGCCGCGCCGTCGAGGGAGACGCCATGCAGCCCCTCGGCCAAGAGGGAGTCATCCTCCGGGGAGCCGGGGGGGGATGCCATGGCCGTGGTCACGACTGGGGCACCGCGGGGGAGCGAGGGGGAGGGGAGGGACCGGCGCCGCGCGCCATGAGGGGCGGGGAGGCCGTGGGCCCAAGGGAGGGGCAGCGCGGGCGGTTGGGCAAAGACATCGGAGACGTCCGCCAGTCCCCGGAGAGCACAAGCGCAAGGGGAGAATCATATCGTGGGCTGACTGCGGGATTTTGTGAGGCCCTGATGCGGGGGATAGGGCACTTGGTGAGTGCGGCACACTGCAAAACCGCTTGTTGCTTCCCCCTCGCCAACTGGCGAGGACACCTCTTTTGAGGTACAGTAGGGGTCCTATATAGCGCCCCACCGTGGCGTGGCCAAAAAGGGGGCGCTATATAGGGACCCCTACTGTGTTGTCATCGACAATCTCATCTTGGCATTAGGAGTTGATAGATTCTTAGATTTTGTTTGCGCTGAACATTAGATTTCAATGAACTGATCGTAGACACTAGTGTCTTATTGTGTAGGAAGCTCAATCCCTTATTCTGTAAAAATGGATGATGAGCACGGCACACCGACATGACATCGAGCGGCAGGCCGGGTCTAGCAGAGGATAGAGCGCGGTGCATGAGTCTGAAGTGCGACACATTGCGAGTCATTGCGCTGCGATTCCGTTGTGGGTCGCCGGGAGTTGGCGGCCTGGATCGATGGGCGACGCCGTGTGGACTTCGCTGGCCTTTGGCAGGAGACCTTGGCCCATGTTCGCGTTCGAGAGCGAATACGCGGGTGGGTTGACCTTCGCGCCCATTGGGTGGGGAGCCAGCCGCACCGAACGGCAATCGATCGCGAGTTGGAAATTGAGGAAATCTGGGCACGGCTGACATCATGGGTCATCCACGTCATTCCTCGCGCTGAGGATTGCTGCTTGCCTTTCCCGCTGGACTCTGTGAACTCGGCAGTCCCTTGTGCGTCATGGAAATGCGTCCCAAGGAAGTTGTGCTGGAGGGGAAGGCCTTTGCATGGCTGCAACATTTGCATTTTGCTGTTTCGTTGTTGTCCTTGTACATTGGTTGTGGAAATTCTTGAGCTGGATGGCTGATTGTGTGGGCTCAATTGCTGTCTGTCGCACGCTGATTTTCCTTTGATGACCACGTGTTGTCATCTGTTGGAGCTTTGTACTTGCGTTGGGCCAGTAGAGCATGCTTCTTGGCATCCCAAAATATTTCTCGATGAACCCAGCAACCCAGACTACGAAAAGTCTGTTTGTGCTTCAGGGGGTGTGGCGAACAGCCTTGAGCCGTGCCCCAAGTGCCCACAGTCAAATTTCCTCAAGGGTGTGAAATGGACCCCAGATGGCTCCTGCTTGATGACGGCCAGCGAAGACAAATGGTAAAGCGGAAGAACGGCACTAGTTTTTCCATTTCTGTTTCTGTTTGGTTCCGAGGTTGCCTGCCATGATTTGGCGATTTGGTGAGGTTCCGAAATTTTCAAGGGAACAAACAATGTCAAGGAAGATAAGTTTGAAGCTGTGTCAGCCTTATCATGGAATTGATTAGCAACGTGGCTGCTGAATGTTTCACCACACATGCTACAGCTGTGCCTGTTGTCGATTCTTGATGTCAGCTCAACACTCCCACGACCTCTTTTCCCTGCCCTAAGCAGTTGCTACCCAGCCATTGTGCATGCATGCATTTGCTGGTCAAGAAGTTGACTCATCTCTTTGAGCCCCTGCTCCATACTGAATGGCAATCACTGATTGTCCCACTGGCGCCAGGTATATCAGTGTGGCATGGTAATACGGTGCATTACCCTGAAAGAGTGGGTTGACAGGGCCATCAATTCTTCTGACTGACAGTTTCTTTGGGTCTTGTGTGGTTCGTGTAACTTGTGGTTGCGTAAGTGGGCTAAGGTGTATGCAGAATGCAGAAAGCCTGCCATACCTTGGAGCGCCCTTCCTGGCAAACATACTGCTGTTACGATCCTTACTCTGGCACAGCAGCAGGATTCCTTTTCATACCTTTCCTCCAATATCTATTGTTGTCCATTAAAATGTAAGCATGTCACACATGGAAGCATGTCATACAAAGAGCACCCAAGCTGAGCAAAATTATGCACAAATGTTTAGTGTTTGGAAACTGAAACGCACAAAATGTTACGAAGAGGTTGCAAATTCTGTGAAGGCAACAACTATGGCAGAAATGCAAACTGTCTGCCATTCACCTGAACTCTCAAGGTGACGCATCAACAAATACAAACCACCACACCTGCATCTTGCTCCACAGTTATGCTCGACACCACCCTCATTCTGGTTTTGTGCATGCACAAGGCTGCGCTTTTACTCCCTTCCCCAAGACATGGATCACGAGTTGTCGCATGAGGCGGAAGAAAGCACCTGCGCAATGGACCCCTATAGCCCATTTCTGCGGATCTTCGAGGGTGAGATCATCTATGACTATGCATGGTACCCAGCCATGGTCGCCACAGAGCCCGTGTCTTGCTGCTGTGCCTCAACATCCAGGGTAATCGCATTGATAGAATGATGGAAGTTTAGGCTGAGGAAGGTTTATTTGTATGCCTCATTTGAAGTCATATAAGGGCGCAAGATTCTTGTGTGATTGGAAGTGTCCATTTGAGGACTTTCCTGCAAAGTAGAGAAGAACTGTACCCAAGGTAAGACTGAACCTGAGTGCTGGCCTCAGTAGTCGAAGGCCAATTCACCCATTTGCTGCAGATGCACACAGCATTCAGTGCACTGGCCCAAAACAGGTTGCTTGTATGAGCCATTTCCTACTGAAAATTGGCTGTAGCAGGTGTCACAACCCTTCACCCTTGCACATCGTTGCAAGCATGTCAGCAGTGCACACAAACATGCAGGTGTCTTTTACTGAGGTGTCGAAAGAAATTTCCCACATGGAGTCATCAATGAAAGGTTACCATTTTCTTCATTTCATCGAATGCATCGAATTGAACAGAAGCAAGATCCTTCCAAATTCCAGTTTGTGTCTGCTGCACATGTCAGGGTGAGTCTTTTGTACATCATTCTTCTGGCACACTGCTGCTGTTGCCTCTGAATGTGACGATACGCAGTAATGTCTGTCATTTTCGCAGTCAAGCAATCCAATCCACTTGGGTTACCTTGTTTCACGACCTGCCTAGTCTTTGTTGCTCATCCCCGGCAAGACCTACACATCACAACTGTGCATATCCTGAGTTTGATGCACCACAGGCTCACCCCATTCACCTTTGGGACTGTCTGACTGGAGCCCTGAGGGCGACCTACCGCTCTTATGACAACGTTGACGAAATCACAGCAGCGCTGTCAGTGGCCTTCCAGCAAGATGGAAGGAAACTGTATGCCGGATTCGACAAAACCATAAGGGTGTTCGACACAGTGCGACCTGGCAGGGACAGCCAGTGCGTGGCAACATTCAGGAAAGCGAGCGATGGGCAAAGAGGTGAGGGTCTAGCTCACGTCACCCTGTGTGTTCTCTTCCCTCCTCGTTTTCGTGTTTTCGCCTTCTTGCTTCGTTGCTGCATACGTCAACTCACATTTGAGAGCCCAATGCACCATTGTGGGAAGGAAAACAGCAGTTGCAATGCTGGGGCATGTCGATCTTCTGTATTGAGGTAACTGTACTGAATCCTTTGCGACTGGTGGCAGAGTTTGTTTCTGGAGTTGTGCATAGACACATTTACACATTGGATATTGTGTGTATCACTGTGAATGCTGAATTGTGCATTTGATCAGCTGGGTGACAGAAGTTATGGGCAATCAGTGAGTGCATGTGCTGAACAGCCACTGCCTCTGTTGGTACAGTGGCAACAGGGCTGTTCTGGTGTACTGCTGGTGTGTGATACTGGTGCAGTAGCAGTACCGGTGGACTACTGGTCGTATGAGATACAATACCTGCTCTGTTGTACCCAATATCTGCTCTGTTGTACCCGCAACTTGGCCTTGAGCGGCGTCACTGGCCATAGCACTTTGCCCTTGCGCCCTCCACCAAGCAGCTGCTGTGACTGTCGGGCTGCCGCTTTGCGAAATTGGTGAGGTTAGTAGAATCTGCGTTGCATGCAATTGTGACGCGGATTTTGTTGGCTGCAGACTCTGCGAACCACACTGAATGGGGTCCATGTGGTTCACCCTGTGTGTCTGTTGATCTCAGCACCATGGCATGCATTGAACTGCCAGACTGTGCCAAGTGTATAACTGTCCTGTGACTTGGGAGAGGCGTGCTAGAATGGCATGGACAGTTGTGGGACAGTTGGGGCATTGACAACTTGCCCCTAGAATTGCGCCAAGCGCGTTGCCATATAGCGCCCTCTGGTGATTGCATGTGCATTGGGCTTCATTGTTCCCCCCCATGACAGGCATCATTTCGTGCTTCGCATTTCCCCCTGGCAGCCAGAGTGGATTCTTTGTGGCCGGCTCATACTTCGGAACTGTGGGCATCTACGGCCACGATACCTGCGGCTTGGAGTGCCTCCTCGAGGGGCACACTGGTGGCGTAACGCAGGTGCGAAGCCAGGCCCGGGTGGTAAGGGTCTTTCTGCCCAACTCACTGGCCGCAACGTGCTGGGGCTCAGACATTCGCCGTTGAGGAACGCTATTGCAACAAGTGGGCGTGAGCGATTGATGTTTGGCCGTCGTCCTCGGGCCTGGTGCCAGCCTGCTTCGTTATGACATCCGTGATTGCATTCGCCCGAACGGAAAATGTTGCTCCCAAGTGCAGGGCGTTTCGGGCAGTACTTTGGAAGTACAACAGCTCTCCCGCACATGTTGTTCCGCCGCTTTTTCACAGGACCACAACCCAACCTGCATTGTCAAGCGTTGCAAGGTCCTGGATTGATCGTGGACTGGACTCGACGAATTCCCCAGTGCAAACCAGTTGAACTGCCCTGCCCGATAATGTGTTGCGGGTGTATTATGTCTGTACTTTATCTTGCTCGCACAGTTCCAATCTTGGATTTGGCAGCATACATTGAAAGCACACACTATGCCAAGCAGTAATCACGGGCAGAAAAAGGGCACTTTTCCCGGTGGCAGAAATTGGAATTCATCTGCAGCATGGTGTTTTGACTTTCCTCAGCGCTGCCTGGCTCCAGTTTACTTCGTCTATTTTCGGTGACGGCTACATCATCTGTCATACCGCGGGAATGCTATCACCAAATTGTACGCAAAGGCTGTGGTTTGGCGTGTGCGGCCCTTTCGACGGCAAGAATTCCATTGTAAGGAAAGACGTGCAAAATCTGTTTTTCAGTCGAAGCGGATTGGGTTTCGGGTCTTGAATTTCGCGATGAACCAGTGGATTGTGCTCCTGGGCGATACACCAAAGCTGTTTGGCCCAAAATATTCACCCAACGAATTCTGCACACGCTTGGCAGCTGCCTTTGTTACCAATGACTGGGCCGATACTTCCTTCTACGTACACTGCTGGTCAAGTAGTTGAGGTAAATTGTATGAAAGTGAGAACATGTGTCGAAATGTGAGTCAGGTGCAGTTCTCCAGGGATGGCAACTACCTGTATTCCAGCGCTCGCAAGGACGGTTCGATCCATTGCTGGGATGTCAGGTTCACACAGCAGGTGCGCGTGTATCAAAGCTGGTCTTTCGTCGCTCAAACGCAAACACAAACGTGCTGTGCGTTCAAACTCCGGACGCTGATGTGTGCATTAAAAAAACCTATAACTTGACATTTGGGCCACAGATTTGCATGAGCTTACAATTGCCTAATGCATCCGTCTGCGCCGCCTCTGGCAGGAATCCTTTGGCCAGATATTGCAAAGACTGGCGAAGTGCACCGTGTGACTCCTCCAAGGGGAATTTGGGCATCAGTTCTTGCACCGAACATCACGAATGCCGTGGCCGCAACCCCCATTTCCACACCCTGATCCGGGACTGACCCCATTGGCAACCCACTGGCAGCAGGTGGTGTACTCGATGACGCGGCGCACGCCAGACACGCAACAGAGGATTCAGTTCGACATCGAGCCCTGCGGCCGGCACCTGGCCACAGGGGGCCAGGATGGGCGTGTGCTGGTGTTCGACCTGACAACGGGAACTCTCGTGCACGAATTTGAAGCCGCGGCAGACACAGTCAATGGCTTCATGTTCCATCCGTCTCTACCCATGGCCGCGACTGCATCAGGTGCGCTGTGGGCATGCTCTGGTGCATTCCTAGACCATCTGTGTGTAGGGCATGTAGCGCAAATTCGACATGGTGTTCGAAGCAATATGATGTATGAAATCCTAAGCAATGTATCTGATCGGATGAACGAGTTTTAGCAGATGCTGAGCGATGAAATTGGAATTTGTACATTGTGTTCATCTGGGAATGAAATGGCGTTAAATTCGTGCCATCTGCAAGGTGCGCACTGAAACTGGCAGAACATTCAGGGGAGAGTGCCGCCTACCCATACTTTGTTCGTGGTTTCCGTGGCTAACATCCTTGAGAGTGATAGTGAGACATGTGTCCTTGTTGTGCTATTGGGTGAGCATGTCCTTGTTCAGATTTTCGACTATTGTCTGAACTGGCCTCAATGCTTCGACAGGCTGATTGTGCCGTCCTCACACCAGAAAGCCATCTTCCAATGTTAGATCTGACGCACCGGCTGCTTGTTTCTTCGTCCAACACCTTTCTGGTGACGGCTGTGTCTTTGGTCAGGTCATCGGAAATTTGTATCCTCCAAGACGTCGCCAGACACTGAGGGCGCCGTGTCTCCATGCAGCGGTGCCCGTTCGTGGCCACTGGAGAATGCTCTCACCATGTGGGGCCTCGACAGCCAAACGCTTGTGGTCCCCGCACCACAAGAGGGTCCCACCACGCCAGAAGTCGATGCCAGGTCAGGTTGAGGGATTCCCTACAGGGCGGCTACCGTGCAGGTGGCCAGTGCCTGAGTTGGAGTCTGGGCTGGGTGCTGGGTCCCTAGCCAGGGATCCAGGGCCCAAACGTGGTCAGCCCAGTATTGGCAAGCAGGTGATGGCGTCTGTATGTGTCATCGGCATGACTGCGTTTGGACCGGGTGGAATGCTGCCGCAGCTGCACAAAGGCTGGTTTGCTGGGGCGCCTCCAGCTTGGAAATCCACACTGACCAAGGGTGTTGGCAAAGGAGGTGGAGCGCTGTTTGGTGTGTGGAGCAGATGGTGCTCACTCTGCGAGATGGCACACGGATGGCTGCACCCGCACGAGGCGATCGCGAGCCTTTCTCAAGGGTTTCGAACTTGTGGTGAACAGAGTTTCAGGACTGCTGTCATCTGCGTCTATCACATGTGACGAACACAAAGCACCACTGGATGCCAGGGACATTCAGCTGCCAGCGGTGTTGAGACTCTTGGGAGTGGAGTGATTGCAAGGGATCCCTCACAGAACTCCAGAGTTCTGTTGTAGAATTATGGTTTGGTTTTTGCCCATCTTTCGATGCAGACCCAGCTGCGGTCCATGCTGCATCCAATGCTGTTACTTGGCCGCTGACATCCCCAACAGATTCCAAGACATGATGTCGTTCGAAATCTAGCAAGGTGCACAGCAATACTCCAACGGTCCCACACAGTCCAATTGTCTCCCTGCTGTACGCAGTGCCCCCACTTGCCTGATAACCTGGGCACGCCACCAAGAGATTCAATCCCGCCAAATCACGTCGACGTCATCTGTCCTGTACCTCTGCGTGCACTTGGTGTCCTCCAGGGAAGTGGTTATGCCTTTTTGGTAGGCACACATGCCGGCCCATGCAATCATGGCGCCATTGTCGATGCAGTACCTGTCGTCCATGGCGAAAATCTTGCCGCCCCTCTCGCTTGCCATGATCTGCGGACACGTCACGACCCACAAATTCAGTGCCTGGAGCAAGAATCCTGATTGATTGGATCCACCCCGATGAGATAAACTTGTGCACCTATCAGCTGACACCATTCACATGTGCTTGTCCTGAAGTGGTCCGTTCCAGTTGCCCAGCAGACACCTTAACAATGCCTTTGTGCTGCAAAGGAAAAGGAGCTGTGCGAAAACTAGTGAAAACAAGGGCAGCAGCAGTAGCAACAGCCCTGGCTGCAAGTCGTAGTGCCAATCCAGCGCTTCCTTGCATAACTGTTTTGATGGCAGTGGATGCCGCCACCACCGACTGCAATGTGAATATGGCAGAAATGCCCCTTGTCCACGCAATTGCTGGCCGTGCTCAAGCCGTTGAGCTGCAAAACATTGTTCATTGGTGATGCAAAATGCATTGTAGCCAACAACTTGCGTCGCATGATCTTGGGGCCACTTTCACAAGTGACCAGTGGGTCCATCGCTGGTGAGAATTCAGGTTCGCTGCCTCGCACAGTCAATGGACAGCCGCTGGCATGCAAGCCAACACAATCGAAGCACAATGTTAGGGAAAACACTAGTTTGATTTTGGTACGCTCAACGTCAAATTGAAGTTAAGGTCAGGAGCCCCCACCCGTCAATCCTTATTTTGATGCCAGGATGACTCAGCATCATTACCTAACAATACCATACAAATTCAAACAGTTTCAAGGGAAAAACAGCCAAAATTGTAGCGATTGTGGTGATTTGTAAAATGGGATGCCATAAGCGATGATGGGCGATGAGAGCAGCCCTAAAGCCTGAAATTTGATCCATTCTAAAGACTACCTGGATTGTTGAAAGTTTGAGGGAGGTATTACAACAAGCTATGACCTCTTTGCCGCTGATCAGCGGCGTTTTTGTGCATCTTCCCACCTTATTTTGATTTTGGTGCAATTCCGTAATCTCTTAGCCTCAATGGCTGCACCCCTCCCCCCCTAACGTCAATTGGACGCCAAGCGTACCAAATCCAAAACAGTGTCTTCCTTTGTTGCGCATCGAACCAGGCCCTCCACAGAGGATTGCAAAAGAAGGTATTTCAAACAAGATTTTGGCAGGGTGGACATGGAACGTCCCGATTTGTCCAGCTCGAACCCAATCCTTCCTCTACAACAGCAGAGCTCCACAGTGGCAATAAACGGTGGCACGTCGGTGTCCCATGTCCGATTCGTCGCACAAGCTGCGCCATACGCCACCTGCATCATCTCTTGCAGCCTCAAGTTGCAGCCCACACCGCCCACAATCAGCACGGCGTTCTTGTTGCAATGCGCCATTGCGCGCTCCGTGATCTCCACAAGCATGGCAAAGACCGTTTCCTGCGACGAAAACACACTGGCATAAAAGGAGAGAATGCGCAGTCGCCCATCTCAACTATCAAGCCCATGTTGCAGCATGCGCAGCAAGCTTGCCTACTTTTCACAGCAAAATGTGAGTTTCCTCCCTCCTTCCAATTTCAACAGCATTTTGGATCCGCTCCCACCTGTAATGAATAGCACAGATCCTCTGCTGTTGCCTCGCCCTTGGAGATCAATTCATTCGCAACCTTCTCAATGTGGCACAGAAGGCCCTGGCAGCACAAACGCGCACGCTGTGAACTTTGCGTTTGGCCTTTTTTTTTGGCCAGCTGTATCTGAACAATGTAAAGCGTCCGCAGCCGGTAGACTGCCCTTTTCAGGGGAAAGTTTCACTATTTTGATCATGAAAAGGGCGAAAATAATCGACCTTCTGATCTGTGAAAAGCACTCAGCAAATGCATTGAAAAGAGTGCGTGTGTGGCTGGGATCCACACCGAGAGGGAGATGTCCATGCCCTTGACCACATACGGAAGCTCCACAAACTTCTTCCCCCTTGGCAAAAACACCACAAGTCAGCCATGGGAGCTGCGAGAAACAGGAAACGAGAAATGTGAGCAGCTATTGTCGACACCAAGCAATCAGTCCACAGTCTTCTCACAGACCAGTGTGACAAAACGCTGGTGAACTAAAGCACAAAATTACACATCAGTGCACAACAGCAATGCAGGAATTTTTCCACACACATTGCAGCATAAATTTTCCACACAAGCATAGCACGATGCCACACTATCGGCACTTTTTGGTTTTCTGCATGCGAGGGCTTCATCACATTCTATGAAACCATAAGTGGATGGAACCATGGCAGTCGCTACTTGGGAAGGTGGAAGGACAGTGTTGTGTGTGCTTTTGTCAAATGCACTCAGACAGAACACGATGTTGACGATACAGCCTTGTGGCACAACTTCATACAGTATTGCATACAGTATAACCATCAACATGCACATGCAGTGAGCAGCATTGGCATCGAGAGGCTGTCCCAGCACTGCCATGTACAATGGAATACTGTAGCTTCCCTAAACCACTTCAAGGATAGACTCCCATCACTGTCTGTGCTGCTGTTATTCTTGATAAGCTTATGATGAGCTGCTGCACAACAATGTTTGGTGTGTCTGGGCACGCACATACTCCAACCGCAAGCAGGATTCATTAACTTGCTCGACCTGGTCCTGCCCACACAAGCCAGAAGAAAGCAAGGCCTTTTTGGCACCAATACAGGGTAACGACTTGCCTTTTTGCCATTTGCTCAATGTTGTACCCAGGGCTGGGGTCATTGCTGAGCTTCAACACACGAGCAAATCTGTCAAGGCAATTGCCAACGGCCATATCAATGGTCTCGCCGAAGATGCGGTACTTCTGTGCTGCATATGCAATGACCTGCGAACCACCACCATGCCAACACAGGGCTCATAACACATGCAAAAATCGGCCAAAATACAGTGTTCCGAACCGTATAAAAATCGTGTAAGACTGTGTCAAACGTGCAACGTGTCAAATTGTGTCAAATCATGCACAGTCACTCCACCGTTAGTACACGGTTTGGTCCCAGTTTTATACGACAAATACACGACAAGCACACGATTCAACACAATTCTCACACGATTCTCAATTGTGTTGCATGGTACACGATTAACAAAAGCGTGTGTTCTGGCCTGTTTTTTAGTGTAACTCCTGGCCCTCCCTGAAGGTTGAACAGCAGCTCAATCATTCCTATCAGGTGCGCAGCTCAAGGAAAAAAGTATGATAAGTATAAGACGCTTGTGCCTCATTCTTCGCTCTAAAACATGCTGATGCTCTTGTATTTCAATTTCCGAAGACTTCTCCAGTTTGGTTGCTCCAATCGCAAAAGCAAGCTCCTAAAATGCGCACATTAAGGCTGCACGTGTGATGTCATGGCACATGGATATCACAGGCAAGATGTCTTGGTGTCGACATGGCGATGTACTTCTCCCTGCTAACACTCACAGACGTCCACGACACTGTCACATTGAGGAAATAGTTCCAGAAACATATACCCAGGAGGGTGCCATTCTTGGTTCAGTAGCTTTTCTTGCAGTGCATACAGTGTCCAACTTCGGAGAGATCGCGGGGCAGTCATCAGGGTGCTGTTGTTGAACAGGTTTGCAATTCTCTCTGCAAGTCTATTCCACATCTCGGTGAACACAGTACCTGGGTATTGCCCCCACTAACATACAGGACAACCGGATCTTCTGCACCAGTAACCAGACGTCCCATCTCAATGTGCCCTGTGTGCAGCAGAGCACCACCACCACAACCATACGTGACTAAGCTTGGCACCAAGCATCGGACAAGTTCTGAGCAAAACTTGTCACTGACTGCATTGAACAAGACCTGTTTTTGTAGCCAACTCTCCTGACAGAGTGTGTCTCCAAGGTCGCACAGCACCCAAGCTGGTCAAGCATGATCCCACCGTTGCAAGGTGGGTTTTCTATTGCAGTTAACCAAGCACAACCAACACCAGCACCAGCCAAAGAGAGGACACAGTCGAGCCAACCAAGGAGAAACTGAATGCCCAGGAAAGGCAACTACAAGGATACGTATGTGCAGCATGGGGAGAGCACAGACTGTTGCCATCCTCTCTTTGAAGCATTGATATTGGCAAACCAGCCAATCTGCTCACCGACACAGTGGTTCACTGCCACGATGGGCTTGTTCCACAGCTGGGACAGCATGCGGACAACAACAGCACAGGTTATCAGGGGTGTGCCCATTCCGGGACCCTGCAAAAGCACACAAATGCGAAGTGAAGCAAGTGCAAACAATGCTCTTGACACATTCACACTCTGCAGCATTGTTTCTTGGCAGTGCAGACTGAAGTTTCTTGGAATCCGAACAATTTTGTCCACACAACCCAGCAACCCTTGTCAGGTGAATCGATGACCAAATTCCCCTGTCACACTCATGAACGCGTGCCAAGGAAGAGGCGCCCCAAAGAGAAGAGGACTATATGTACAGTCCCCTTGTCCTCGCAAAGTGCGACTTGAGATGCGGTGAAAAATAAGAGATAACTTGTCGCCCAGTGGAGCACCATTTCCTTGCACATGCACAAGGGTTATTACAGTGTTTGGCCAGGGGCAACACGGCTTCAAAGGGAACCTCCTCAAGCGAGTTCTGCAATTGTGCAGACTGCACAAGTTTGCCAGATGCATTTCGAATTCTGCTTGTGCACTCCCCAATTTGCAAGTAACCAACTCGAATATAAACGAAGGCATGCAATCGATCCTATATGCAGGCCAGTAGTGCAACCGCAAGGGTATGAAAATTTCATATCCTTTGTGCACAACGTTCTTGCCCCCTCAAAGAAACATCTATAATTGAGAAGTATTTGATATCAACTGTGACAATCGCAAGTGTTACAAGATGTCAGGCATTGTTCACAAGCACAAGAATCTGTTCACAAAACATGCTTGTCCACTGGTTACCCAAATGCATGATTCTGTTGGAATACCACAAAAGAAGCACAGAAACTATCACTTCCCAAGACGGCCATGACAGCACCTTCGTATAGGCAATTGCGCCAATGTCCTGTGGTGACACTCCAGCTTGCTTGAGAGCTTCATCCACAACATCGAGAATGTGTTTCTGCAGGAAAAGCCACGCATCCAATCTTCTTGGAACTTCAGATAAAACACTTTCTTCCATACCTGTTCGTGAGCGATTGGTGACCATCGCATCCTCAAAATTTAAGAGTCAATGAGCACTAATTTGTGTGTAAGGGCACTTTGGGGAGCGGCCATGCACAAGGTGCCAAAGCTTGCAGCAGCCACAATGCCTCAAACTGGCTGCATGCTCTCAAAAAATTTAGCCATGAGATATTGCTGTCATCAGCTTCGTTGTCACAAGCATCTAGAACGACCAGCTGCAAATTGTTCCTTTTGGCTTCTGACAGCTGAAGCACGAGAGTGTTTGCTGGCATTGCTTCAAAAGGGGCAACACTGTTTCAAGGGAGCTGTGGCCCAATTCGTGCTCAAGATGCAAAGGGCAGCCCCTTATCACTTTTTGGTGAAGACAAATCAACTGTTCGACAAGAAGATTTACAACAGTTGAGCATTCAGCAATGGGATGGGAATGTAGGTATGTTGGTTCAATGAACCTCTTGCCTCCGTCCAAGTCCAGTGCATGCATACGCTGTGGCAAGAGGTGCATCCAAATTGCAGTATGCCCGGTCAGTACCCAAGCAGCAACCACGGGCTGGCAATGCCTGTTCCACCTTCTGGAAGATAAGGCAGCAGACTCCTTTGAAGGGAATCAGCAGCAGAATTTGTGCCATTCCATCAAAATCACAATCCTCAGCGTGTGCGAATCCGTGTTCCAGAGCCTCTGGCGAGGTAGGCAATGGGCTTCAATGCATGCAATCCCGTTCGAGCTCCGAAACAGGCACCCTGGCGGCCGAGCGCAAGACAGCGCACCTTGTGATGCGCGGCCGTCTGCCTGGGCATGAAGCCTTCCCCCGGTGGAGCCACGAACCTGGAGCACGCGCCCGTCGCAATTCTCAATCGTTCCCTCCCTTCCGGGCGTCGGGGCCCGCACATGTTTCGCCCCAGCGGCACTCACGTTCGCCTGGGATTCGACAGGATCTCCCCATCGTCGCGGATCACTCCCACGCCCAGCTTGTTGGCCGAGCCCTCCACGCCGAGAATGATCATGGCCGCGGGCCGCACGACCCCTACGGGCTGGTCTGTGCGCAGGCGCGGATGCTGGAAGTGGCTGGTCCGCGGCGCTGTGGGGGGAATGGGGGATGAGGCGAAGTCGGAGCTTCTCGCGCCCTTCGCATGGCGCGCCTGCTAGGGTTGTATTTCACCCGCACAATGCCGACATCCGAATGTCCAGCCCACAAGTGGCGTTCTACAGGGAGCCGGAACACGAACAAACGGTGCCGCTGTGCAGGACATCTGCTAGTGCAAAAGGTGGCCGCCTGACATAGCAGCCACCTGGGCGAAAATCCATAAAGCGCCGAGCCTTCGTACATTCCGGTACCATTCCGGCTCGATTGGATTTGCGTCGAAGGAGATGAATCTGGGGTCATACAACTCCCTTGCGAAGGCTTCGCCAGCGATTCTGCCACGGAAAACCCCGTTGATGGCGCTGCCTAGCCATTTTGTTTAATGGCCGAGTCAGCTGGCAGAGATGAATAAAAATGTCCTGTAACTAAATACTATCGTTTGTACTATTTCGCCTACCAGGACAGTGGAAATGCTACTAGACAGGTTCCAAACACTTCTCACTTAGGCTGCATTTCACAACCAATAGTAATAAAAAGCTTCAAGTGCTAATGATCATCAATCTGCTATGAACTCATGCAAATACTGGCAAGGACGTGCGGAGGATAAACACATGCAGCTGCTCATCTTCAGCCCGATTCTTGACCAGTTTCCTCACCAGCAATTCACTCCGAATATGTCCAAATTCATAACCAGATTCCTGATGTTTCCATGCCTGGCAGGTCGCATCCCTATTGGGCTGTCAAGCATCAGAGAATTACGTAAAACACATCTGCCTGAAGCAGAACAATTGAAAAGAAATGACATCACACCTCGCCCTGCTGCGAATAAATCCTGCATCTGTCAGCCAGAAAATCCACGTCATTTTTGGTGTTTCGTACACAGCAATCCCAAAAACCCAGACCTGCTTCCAACAGCGATCTTGATATTTCCCCAATCAATTGGATCAGGGTGGCAGAGCTCTGGGTCACTAATGGCTTCAGCATAGGCTCACAGCGGTATCCACAAACTTCGAGTTCCGCGATGACATTTATCAAACTGACTGATCACATATTCTTGAAACCTGGCAGCGCAGTCATCAATTGCATAGATTGTCTTGTGCACGACGTAGATTTGCCTCAGCACGCACCAACACCTCTCTTGGGTCAGTTCCGGTTGACCAACTTTGATGAAAAGCTTTGGTCGTTGTTGGCAAAGTCTTCCACTCCGGGACGTGCGATCTCAGCCCTGCAGCGTCCCGTGCCACTGGACGCCCGCGATGGCTGCCCTGTCTGCCGCTGTGAGTAATCCGGTGGCAGCACGTCATCTGGCCCCGCGAAGCCCGTCACCTGTGACCGTTGCTGCGTTGCTCCACCACCAGCACCGGTACCTCTCGCCATTTGCGCGTTCCGCAAGCCGCTATCCCGGGCAGCCTTCGAGGCCTCCACCCCGCCAGTGGATCCAACGGCGAAGATTCGCCACGAGTCGCAGCCATCGCCGGTCCCATTGATTGCCATCGGTGCTCACAGCATCTCGATCCCGATCGCCGGTGCGAGCGATTCGACGCGCACTGCTGCGGCCGATCGGTGCGGATCCAGCCTTCCAGCAGTGCTGCGTTGTCGCACGCAGTTTTCGAGTGAGGGCGAAGCTTTGTGAGCCAAGCGCGTGCGTCCAGAGGGGTTGGCGCGCGGGGCCCACTGGGCTCAGCCCAGTGCGTCGCGTCACATATCCTGGGATGCAGGACCTCAGTGACGTCAGCATCCTGTCCCGTATCTTGGCAGAATCGGGCGCACATCGAGAAACCCATACGTCTCGCCGCATTGTCGTCTCCGTATTCTCCTTTTATGCTGGATTTCGTCCTTTGAAGGAGACTAAGCCCTGTTTCTACTTATGTGGATTTTCGCCACTTCCTAGCCACCTTTTGAGGCCCAGGGGTCGCCAGCTTGGCATAAATTTCATACCATATATTAGCGACGCGAGCACTGGCGTCAACGTGAATGACTAATTCAATCATTGAACATCCTCATATTTTGGTAGGATGCAAGGCGCTGCACATTGGCACAACAGGGGACAGGAAGGGCTCAGGCTTTGTCACGCAATGAACGCCAAATTTTTGCCTCGTCGTTGGCGAGTCGTCAAGGGGTGGTCGAAGGCAGGGAACCTGTAGCCGGAGCCTAGCTTACAGCTTTTAGCACACAGCTTCGAAAAATGCCATATGCCCCTGTCAGTTGCCACGGGTCGAGCAGGCTGAGAAATTCCCACCATTATAAGCTGACTTTGTTTTCCAACCTGGGTACCCCACCGATTCTTGGAACTCCACCGCCGAATCAGCTACGTCAGTAACTACACAACAGGAAAGAAGTGGGCGATATTTTACATCGCATGCTACAATGTCGCTGCGAGCTCCTCACTCCCATTTTTGCACAAATCCCCACATTGGCATGCAAGCCAACCAACCATTGGCATGTCCACCCTGCCAAGGGCGTGGTTTAGCTGCTGCCCCACATCCTAAAGGACCAGTTCTCCTTCTCAGTCATTGGACGAGCGCTGGAGACGGCATTTCAACGTCACAACCCCGTGTCCGGAGCGCACCTGGGCTGAATCACATACCCAAGCCACCAGCAAAACGTACAACAGACACCATGCATACAAGAATGTGCAGTGCTGAATATTTCGTGGAGGGCAGTATTAATGCCAGCATCAATATGAATACTCACATTCCGTGGGTGCGAATTCACGCCACAAGGCGCCCATCCCCAATGGATATCATGGCGCCACCGCGGCGAGCGCGACACCAGGAACTCGTTGGCAACGTGCCGCCTGTTGGCCCCGCTGTGAACATATGCCCTGGCTGGATCAGCGTATCTGTCATTGGGGGCCCAGATACTCTGCATTCCTTCAGCGAATTGAGCGACTGAATCACGCAGCTTTGAGCAATGGGATGTGCCCCTGAATGGGCGCAGAAAAGCCGCCTGTGGCGCCCAGAGCCAACCAGCATGGCCGCAGCGTGGCAGGCATTATCTCGCAATGGGATTGGCGTGGATGATGACGCTGTGGAGTTTTATGTCCTGCACAGGCCTGTCCGCCGGACCCGTTGGCACCTGACGTAGCAGGCAGAACAACGGCACTGTTACAAGGTTGCAAAAGCAGCAGCAAGGCTAACTTTGTTATGAAATTGCCCATAACCACGACATACAAACCTGATGAGCTTGCTTAAAAGCGACGTACCACGTGGCGCAACGGAACGAAATCATGCGATCTAAACGGTCTAGATTCCTTGGCGCCCGGGGTGGGGGTAAACAGTCTACGCGAATGACTTAGGGGCAACCGCAATGTTCAGAAAGGCAGTCCCGCACTGTTCCAAATTGTGCGTTGGCAGAGAGCGGCGCTCATACTGTGCCCTTTCCTGCAAAAACATATTTGCAACATACTATTTTGTCAAAGTGCAATCCTGAGAAGGCTGCAGCGCCTCCATCAATTGTGCAACAAAATACTGCCACGACAACAATGTAGCACACTCATCATTCCACTGATTCCATTTGCTCAAATGTGACAAACGTCGCCTAACAGATCACAGGCGTCTGTGGCATTTCATGGTTCAAACATGCAATGCTGTGAGCAAAGTGCTGTACGTCGCGACAACAAAAAGCTGGAATGTTGTTACTAACAACCGTAAATGACAGTAAATTCCAAAAGAATATCAATACACAGAATGAAGGAACGATTTGATGCAAGCCACGAGTATGTACAATCACCTTCTCCATCTTGTCCAATGTGTCCAGGCCGTCGATAACCTGCCCAAAGATGGTGTACTTTCCGTCCAAGTGCGGCTGGGCCCTGTAGGTGAAGAAGAACTGGCTGCCGTTCGTGTCCGGTCCACTGTTGGCCATTGACAGGATGCCCCGCTTGTGGTGCTTCAGGTCGGGCCTCAGCTCGTCCTCGAACTTGCCGTTCGGTGTGTTGTATATGCTCTTGCCACCCTTACCTGTTCCGGTGGGGTCACCTAGAGGGATGAGTTGTGTGCACACACAAACACACAAGTCTGACCCCTGCTGATTCCTGTGACTGCGAGCTTGGCTCTGAAATACCATACCTAAGGACCAAACGGCGGCAACTGGCAATGAGTGCATCCAGTGTGCATTGTTGGAACAGGACGCCTCAGTCTCAACCTTCAGATTAGCCTCAACTTAGGTCCCCCAAGATCTCGTAACCATGTGCATTGTAAAGTCCATGGTGAGTACAATGTGGGTGCAGCATGTGCCTGCAAAAATTTTCAAGGCCCACCCAGCGAAAGTCCTAATTCCGCAAATCAAAATTTGAGTCTGTTGAAACTTAAAAAGCCTGATCCCGGTGTGATTGTGCACTCCACATTGAATTCAACTCGGGTACAGCATGTGTCCAAAGACACACTCTTAAGGTACAGCCCAGGATCATCACAAGTGCGCACATCACGGCTCAACATCGTGCTGACAGAAGCCAAATAGGGAGGTTCTGAAGGTGGCACTGGTTGAAGCCCGCACCAGGTTGTTCAACTCAGAACCCATGAACCTTGGCTAGCAGAATTCTGTTCTGAATCCATTGGCCCCATCGACAAAACACACTCTTGCATCTGCTTGGCAACACTGGGCACTATCCACATCGTCCATTACCAACACATGCTCAGGCGGCCTGTCTGCACTGAATAGTCACATCTGGCAGAAGAAAGAGGCAAGAAGAAAGGAGGATAATGCTTCCCAAGCCTTGAGTGCAAATGAGGGAGTGCAGGTGCCCCAGGTGGACTGCCCTGAGCATTAACAGCTTGTGCTCACTGCTACAATCAGCAATGTTTTTCCTTGAGAACTAGACTGGGACAAGGTTTACTCTTTAACACACATTCTAACCACAACTGTCAGACAGGTGTGTGAGTCCAGTGTCTGGATAGAGAAGATCCATGCTGCACTGTTCTCACTGCCAGCAGGTCAGGATGCAAGCACCACATTCATCCTGATACATGAAAAGGACACCAACTACCCAATGTTATGTGCCACAACATACCAAAACACCCAGATTCATTATATACTAGTAGTACTTTAGGCAGGAAGTATCATCAATATCTTTGTGTGATTCTGATTCGTTTAAAGTTTGCCAAAATTGACAGAATGACTTCTTTGTGTTTGGTGAAGGCAATTACCTCTGTCCTATTAGTTGTTCAGGTATGATGCATATGTAGTTTCGCAAAAGGACAGGTCACAGTCTCAAAGATCATCAAAGCAATTCACCCAAGGTCCAGGTATGTTGCCTGAATCCCAAGCAATCTCTTGGGGAGCGTAGGCGACATGGCCCCCCACCTCCTTGAATCATGAAGCCCTTGATGTTGCGGTGAAAGATGGAGCCATCGTAGTACCCACTGGCGCATAGTGCAAGAAAGTTCTCAGCAGTTTTGGGAGCCTGCCACAGATCAGACAGGTGTCTCAGTCTCTATGCCCCAATGACTTGTGTCCAGCCCAGTTCTCAGGCATATGGAGAAAACGTCTACTTTCGGTGATTTGCAGACGCACTCGCGAAACAATAGATGGAGCACATGTTCATTACATCAATGGACAGATGCACGAGTGGTGGACAGCAGCTGTAGACTCTTGACGTCTGTTCATTTATAATGCCATCAAGGACACTGGCCAATGCCCATTGTGCCTCCACCCCATGATGCTCTGCTTCACCAAGTCACTTTGGACAGACCGACCATACAACTGCTGGTTTGGAATCTAGCACTCTGCATCACAAGGGTTCTAGGTGTGAATCCGCCCTCAATGGAAAGAACAAACCTAGTGCAAGGTTGGTTTCCCAGCCAGCGAGATGTACATTTGTTTTTTTCAATGTTTGAAAAGCAAAACGGATAAAGTTATGCATCGACTGACGTTGGGGCCACTATGCATTAGACAGGCCCAACAGCACAAAGGGAATGTCCTGGACCAACATATCAAGGATTCAGTGCACTGGGCTGGGAACCTGTCACACACTGTTGAAGGAAGATGTCTCTAATTCCTGTGGCATTCAAAAACAACTGCATCCTGCAGCTGATGTTACACACGCCCAGCATCGCCGTAAAGGTGCAAGAGCAACGTTTTGTCTTGGCAAAGGCAATTCAAACAAAGGATGCAGCACCATCCAGGGGAATGGACAGAATTCTCAAGAAGATTCTTGCTGAGGGAGGTCCTCATTGCGTCACTTCTGTCCCCACTGTTGGAAGCCACCCTTTGCTGTTTTTGGTGGGAGGGCTGCCGCAGCGCGGGCCGTCGCCCCCGCATTGGGCGCTGCATGCTCACCTCATCGCAGAACACCTCAGCCTTGATGTCCCCCAGGCTCGTGCGAAGCGTCACGGACTGCGGGACGCACAAAAGGCGCTCAAACCTCCCAGCAAATGCAGCCGAAAACAAAACAGTTGATAGGGGCGAAGACATCCACGTACAGGGATGTCTCCAAGGGCGCCCGGCAGTTGGATCTAATTGCGGAATTTTGCGGCTGGACTCCTCGAGCGTGGGAAGGGCGTCCCTCGGACCGCTCACCATTGGCTTCCACGACTCGCTGAGGGTCCGTTCGCGGGATGGCTCGATATGGCCTGGTTCGGTTCTTGAGACCTCTGGCAACTATCAGCGGAAAGCGGCTGACATCATCATGACGCATTGGGCGAATGGATGGCGTATCCTGGCCATTGTGGACATCGCTGTTCGGAATCTGTCCGTAGTTCCGTTGCCTCCAGCCCGTTCCCAGACCGCCTCCACCGGACAGCTTCCACTGCGGGGGAGCGAGTCAGCTACCTGACAGCAGTAAATTCGGTAATTCTACGAAAAACACGTGATCATGCTACCTGTATTGCAGCAAATAGACACAAGGTGTTGATGGACACACGGCTGAAACGGAGCTGGATATGGAACAAGTCGCCAATAGGGACGTGAGCGACACAATTAGGCTATTTACACCTTTCCTGGAAGGGATTTATTCGTTTGGTACGTCGTAGGAAGGGGACTGTTCACGGCGACGAATTGTGGCTACAATTTTTCATCTATGGCACCATCACTTACGTTTCATGCTGACGACGTTTTTGAATTTCAAACACGACTGGTTGTGTGGAACAGCACGAGCGAGCCTGCACTGAGGAAAGCAAAAATAATGCTTTAGTATATTCTTATGCATTGAAGCTTTGACAGAACATTGGAACTTTTGGCATATTATAACTCCCGGAAACTCTTCGGATCACCCTCGTATCTGTATGTGAAATCGTGGGTTTCCAATGTTTAGCTCCAACCTGGAGGTGCTTTGCTTCGGGAAGCGCAAGAATCCCGCGTAGTTCAATGAACAATGCCTTCCCCAGGGTGTCTTGTTCGCAATGAATGTCGCAAGAGATCGTCGGCTTTTCCTGAAACTTTTCATCACTCTGATCATTCTCTCCACTGCAAGTTGTTTTGAAAGGTTTTATGTAAAAAAGAGCTGCAGTGTGGGTGTTGTCAATGACCATATGACTGTTTCGGGTAGTCAGAAATCGAGGCGGATGACAGGTGGAATGGAGTTCAAAGACCCGAATTCTGCTTGTTTGTCTTTCTGCGCCTTTGATATTTCCTCTCGGAGTTGGCGGTGGATCAGTATTCTAGTAGCCCGTATTCTCTTCTTGTCTCTAAGTGAAAGGACGTCTGTGGCATGATTTGTCAATTGGGGCTACTTGAGAGGTTAAGGAAATGTGGCTAACGCGTCGGGCGGACGGTTTTGGTAGACGACTCACCGACGATGACTGTCCAATGGATGCCGCTTCGCAAACACATAGTTGCGAATATGGAAAGAAAATTATAGGTGCTTGGCTCTGCCGTCAGCGAGAATTATGGACCGGCATCTGGACAGGACTAACAAATTTGCCAACTCATTTTCTGTGGCAGGCTTGCTTGCATATGGCGCTAGTTGTGGCCGCCCAGGGACCCGATGTGTTGTGTGCTTTACGTTGGCAATAAAAACAGCGTCTTTCGTCAACTACAAAAAAGACGCTGCTTCCAAGCATTTATCTCAAAGCATTGCCTGCGTGCAAGTTGTTTCTATCTCTAGACACGCAAACGGAATCTCGACTCGCCACCATCTGAGCACACACGATGGCGCTGTGTCTTACATTCATACTACAAAACAACGTAGGGATTATGTGCGAGGCATACCCCCGCTCAAAGAGCGTCCGTAAAGTCCATCCCCAGAATTCAGTATTGCTGCTGGCTGCAGCATAATTTGCGAGTTGGAGTCCGTGACCTGCTGTGTTGTAGCGCCCATAAATAAAAAAAATCGAACATCAGATTGACCCATATTTGCAAAAAGAACGCATATCTTGCAACTCGAAATCTATGCATTCTTTGGGCAAAATTTAATCTTAATACATCCAACCTTTGCGAACTTCCAGTCTTCAGTGCTTTGTTGGACATGTTTCGAAATCACACATACCTTCGATTGACGATACATGCTTGTGCCAAATTTTCTGCATTGCCCAATATCATAAGATATTGTTTCCAATGGCAGCTCGTTACAAAGGTAGATGACTCGTTGGCGCAAATCCTGAAAGCATCTTAGCAACAATGAAGCGCACTTAAAACCAAGATGCAATGTCGCCTCGCGTCCTCACACACAATCTCCCGAGTCTTAAATCTCCCGCCAACTTTCCACCAATAGGGCGATCCTCCATGGAGCTATGCGGACGTTTTACCAAGCCTGTCTCGAATTTGAACCATTTAGTAAACCAAGTGAGGGCGAGCCGTGCATTGGCGGCCACCTTTCGTGGTGTTTTTAATAACCAGGGCATTCTGACGCAATTCATATCATGTTTACCTGAAGTCACTTCCGCTGCATATGCAGTGGTGCAGTGCCAATGCGACCCTGCAGTTTCTGAAAATGCATTGTAAGAAATTAGAGGGCCTCAATTTCAAATGGATCGTTTCGTATTCTTCATCTTCATGCCATTTCAATCTATTCTCTCCCTTCCATTCCAACACCGTACCTAACTACAACTTGCGTGTGTTGCAAATGTGTAGTGGGTGGAGAAATTGACGCATGAAGAACAAACAGATGCCGGTGGATCCGCACACAATGGCAATGAACCTGAAAAGTCAGTGCTTGGCTTTGCGTGGCGGAGGTAAAACGCCTGGAGCCATCAATTCAATCAGTTGAACTCCACAAGACAAATAAAACATTTGGCATTGGCTCAAAGCCAGACCAGACACAGATTCAAAATTAAATAATTTCAAACTGCGGGTGATAGGCCAGCCTGCCTTCGCGGGACATATCGACTGCGATAGTGGTGTCGCCAGCAACGGACTGGAGAGCGCACATCACGGGCGCCACTAGGGGGCTGCCATGGCCACCTGAGCTAAGCGGGAGCACTGACGAACATGCGCGCGGCCCCACCGTTAACGGAACGTACGCAACGTACGCAACGTTGCGTACATGCAACGTGGAACTGCAAATCGCACGTCGTTCGTTCCGCGCTTGTCTGCTTCCCGACAAATTTCGATATGATAACGTAATCAAGTAAACGTGCGATAAAATATCGGCTGGGAAAGGGCATACTTTAGTGCAATGGCGTTTGTACATTATCATTGACACAACGCTGAATTACGCTGCAGCAAGGCTTGTGTATCAGCGTTTAACGCGAAGCTGGCAAACGAATAACCGCTTTTCAATGTCGGCAGATGGCAATTTACTGTAGCATTGCTAGGCATTGCATCAGTGGCAATGCAGCCGCGTTGTGGGATGAACAGCTTCACGGCTTCCAGAATATAAGCGTAAATCAATTTATCAAGATCAATTTTCAATCGTCAGGGTCGTATACATGACACATGCACATGCACCTAACGAAAGCAATTGATGAGCATTTGCTCCCTTGCTTTTATCGCGTGTGACGCATGTTACGACTTCCATTGATGGGGTGCTTATCTGCGTGTGCGCGCAATGTATTGCAGCTATCGTTTTACGTACCGCACGTCAATGTTGCCGATCGGCTACTACTTCGCGAAGTATCAATGCGGAGCTTTGGCTACAGCACAGCCGGCACAGCATGTGTACAGACGCTGCTTCTATCACACTTACGTCCCTTGTATGCTCTTTCCCAACATTGTGGATGCCTGTCAAGTCACCATACCATTCCAAACACATTCGAAGGATCAATGCTATTGCTTGCAATGCAGATGTCAGCAAAACACAATCCCCACTGCAACGTGAAGGGATTTTTTTGGCTGGGAAGTGAGTTGGCACTTTCTGAACGCCATTTCTCATTCATTGAAAACAGGGCACGGGCTCGCGTCTATAAAAGCAGGGACCCCCTATTGTGTGCCCCTGTGCGAGGTGGGACCATATATCCACTCATGATAAATGTATCATCACATGCGTATGTGCGCAGCCTACCTAGCTGCGCTTGCGCTCTTGGGTATTAATGCCTGATTTTCTATTTGGTTACAGCCTTTGGGAGCAACCCTGTGTTGCCCACGGGTATGGTGGATAATTTCTCTTCGATCACGTCATGTGGGGGCAATCCTGTGTTTTCCACGGTGCATTTCCCGAGAAAGAGTTCCCGTGTAGCTGCCGGCTCCCTGATTTACTTTTCTTCAATACAATGACTGACTGGTGACTAAATCGCTAGTTTGTACTCCACTCCCCCTCATTCGATGTCATGCATCTGCAGGGGTTGGTTCCTTTGGTAGCCCCTCCAGGCGCTTGAAGAAGTTCCTTCACAACGAGGTGCACATCAGTCCAAGGAGAATACACGTGTGCGCGTGCGTTTGTTGACCCGTACGCGTTCTCACGCTGGCTCGCAAGGAGCAAGAGGATTAAGCAGGTTTGGGGCAATCGGGGATCCGTGATGGCCACACGCGGCACAGCAGACCGGCGCTGTACAATTCGTGCGGGAACTCACAATATGACTAATTTTGTCCGCATGACGCCACGGATTCCGCCATTTGGTCCTCCATACTTTCCGCACTTCACCGCGACCTGTCCCACCCCCCGCCTTCACATCCCCTTCATCGACATCGACAGCCTTGTCCCCCCTTCCCCCCCTCCTCCCCCCCCACCCTCCAAGCACCTCCGTCCGCCATCGGCCCCCCGTTCACTATAATTAAGGGCCCCTGGCGGGCCGGCATAGTTGGCGGAGCACCTCGGCGCACGAGCTACCTTGACCCAGCGGCCTTCCAGCTGAGGAAGCTCAATCTGCGGCAATCGCCATGGGGGGGCGCCGAGAATTTGCGACCTTGTTCGCGGCCGTGGCGGTGCTGTCGTTGGCGCTGGGCGTCCGCGCGCAGAGGTCGCTCGTGTCCGGGGAGCCGTGCGTCTTCCCGTTCCAGTTCGAGGTGCGTGCCCGGGCCTCAAATTTTGTCCAGTTGGTCGGCTTTTGAAGGCAGGAGCGCACTGCATGCGCACGCGGATACAGACAGCGGGTGGCGCGATGTCGCCAAAATCTTTGCGGGCGAGTGGGAACGGGGAATTGATGCCACGGTAGCATGAGTTGGTCCTCCGTGGGGCGCCGCGCAGCGGAAAGGGTTCTTGGGTGGGGACGCCCGGGTCCCATTGCCCTGGGGGAAAGCTTTGGAGCCGTCCCCGCCATGGGTTTAATGTGGTTAGGGATTCCATGCCGGGCCCGGCGCCGGCGTCGCGGGTGCACGGGACGACAGCTGCTGCGGGTGCCGTCGATCGGGTCGATGACCGCCCGGCGGCCGTTGCGACGGCCCGAGTCTCGATCGCAATGCTGGCGCTCGCGCGGTGTCTGCCCGTAATGAGACGCGACGGGTGAGCGGCGTGCTGGCGCAGCATCCATGTCCATGTTGCTGGCTCTTCGGCGAAGTGCCTTACTGCATGGGAAGTTCGCAGTCCGTGGACCGCGAACAGGGGTGGCCATACCCATCTGCGCTTTATCCGGCGATTCGAGGAATGGGATGGTGGCGAGAAAGTACGTCTTCCAGGGGCAGTGGGAATGCCCAGCCAATGAGCACCTCGAGCTTGGGACCGCAGCCGTGAGGGTTGGTGTGCCTTAACTTTGGCGTGGTTGCGCTGGTGAATCTCATATCAGTTGAGATGGCCTTGTGAGGCATTGGAACTTGGGAATTGACGGGATTTGTGCACGGCCTGCTGGCAGGGCAGAACCTACTTCGACTGTTTGGACTTCCAAGGGAGCGAGTGGTGTGAAGCGGAGGGAGGTTTCTTTGGCCAGTGCGCCCCTGGGAGCCCTGCGAGCTCTTCGGGCTCTGCCAGCTCCGTGGGCTCCCGGGGACCTGGCATACCCGCCCCGGTCACGGTGCGTGACCTTGCGCACGTCAGACGGTGGATTGTGGCTCTTGCACTCTTGGACAGGGACCCGGAAAAAGTGGTTTGCATGAGTCCGCAACTCCTTCGTGTTATGAATTGCGCAGACATACCTGCCAATCGTGCTGGCGATGTCCCTTTCGACCCCAAACTGGAAATAGGCACCTGACCATTGCCCACCCAAACCGAAGGCAACCATGGAAAACAGAATGTGGTTTTTGCACTTTGTGCCATCACCGCACCAAACAAAGCGTCTCTGTTGACTCATGCAGCACAATGTGCTTCCAAGCCGATGCTCCTGTCCGCTGGCAGAAACAGCATTTTGGCGATGGCGACGCCAATGTCATTTTGACACTGGGAGGCGTGGTTGCAGTGGCCGAGATGGCACAAAAGCGAGTGCGATGCCTCAAATAGTGCCAAATAACATGCAACTGCCATCGCCGCAATGTTATTTTTTTACTAGTGGTCGCTCTGCCATGGACAGTAAACAGTGGATTGTTGACTGACCAGCAGCTCTTGCACCAATGGAAGAATAGCCTGTTCTACCAATTTAATCACATTTTGGAACCATGTAAAATTGTAGAGAAATCGAGTATTTGCAGCAAAAGGAGCGATGGGGATGGACCACACTTTGCGGATTTGTCTACATTTCTTGCTCCTTTCCGTCTCCACAGAAACCGAACTTCAAACTGGCACGAATAAGTACAACATTGCAATGACACTTGCACCGTTTGTTCTCGAAAGGGCACTACAGTGCTGTGCGTTTTTTGCATGTGCATATGTTGATATGCACACATGGCACTGTCTTAGCATGTGATGATGTCACACTGCTTCTTCAACTCAGTGAAACTGCTGCCATGAACAAAACTGCTTCAAGTCTGGCCCATAAACTCAGCAATGCACGAATCTTCAAAGCCAAGCGAGCACCATGTACTCTCAATGGCTTTCTCTGGCCATTCGCTAGAAAAATATTGCTCATTTCGCAGTCCCAGACAGAGTCCATGCTATGTTGAAATGGGACACAATCGTGTGGTTGAAGTAATAGCCTTGCTAAAGGGAACTGCACATCGTTATAATAGCAGTGCATTTAGCGGGAATCTGCCACCGGTGACTGTTCACAGAAATGATTCGCCTGCAGAGTGCGCCGGAGGAGCCAGTGCAGCCACCGCCTTCTGCACCAGTCCTGCCAGCCTCTGCTCCTGTACCGCCTCTGGCAAGCAGCGGATCGGATTGCTGCAATCTGCTGAGCGGCATTGGCTTCAGCAGCAGTGTGCCCGTCGTCATCATCAATACAGGGGGCCAGGCCATCCCAGACGAGCCAAAGATACCAGCCAGCATCTGCACATGCAATTCCCCTGGTAGGGGCCGGGGAGACACTTTCGCTGTGTGCGACAAAATAGAGCATGTGGATATCAGCCTGCGTTTTTAGAATGCTGTGTTGGAAGCTTGTGTTGGGGGTAATGATTTCAGGTAGGCCGTTAAGAGGTGAAGCACCCTGCGGTTATAAATGGCAGGTTTTGCCCGCGTTCTATTGAATTCTGTTGAATCCTGCAATTGGCTAGTGGGGCCTCCATGACTTCCTTGCCTCGCTTAATACGTCGTCGCGATCTGGCTGTCGACTATGGCGGCGCGCACGGCTACACCTCCAACAGGGTGCCTGCAGCGCCACCCACGCTCGTGTGTCTGCAGTGCTGAAAAACGCACGAGATGGGCTGGATAGGGGGGCGATTACACTTTCCAATTCCACACATGCAGGAGGCGACATCGCGGCCAACATCAAGATCGAAATTCGGGGCTCGACATCGGCGCGGGAATTTCTGAAGAAGTCGTTTGCATTTAAGGTCATTGATGACCAGGGCAAGGACATGGATGTCTCGTTCATGGGTAAGCTCTTACTCCTTGCGGGGCATTGGAAGTGGTGTGTTCAGGCAATCTTGTGTACTTCAAGCCACCACACCCACCCTGCATTCAGTCACAGTTGGAAAATACGACAGAGCAAATATCCTTGCAATGAGGTACCATTGATGTTTAAACGAACGAAATTTCGGCGGCGAGGCCACTTTCCTGGGCACGTACGTCGCTGTCCGAACATTGTCGTCGTGTACACGTTCCAGCCCATAACAGTGCAGACGTTGAAGGGACGAATGGCCGCTGTTTCATTCCAATTGTGTGCTTTCTTATGTACCAAAAGCACTTGAATTGAAAGCATATGAATGTGACATTGGCGTGCTTCTCACTCAATTCCTTCGTGTTCTTTCCTCTAATTCTGGATGTGTTGTCTGTCAATTCAAGGCTTCCCGGAGGACAGCGATTTCGTTCTGTATGGTGAGTGAGCTGCGTACCATTCTTGACGGAGGCCCCCGCTGAAAAATCAGACTACTTCAGTTGTCCGTACACCAGTCTTTGTGGCCATAACATGCCTGAGACACATGCTACTCACGCGTATTTCAGTGTATCTTCCTCTGGCAGTGATGTATCAAAGCCTGAAAAAGCAATTCGAGTGGCGATTGTGTCCTGTTGTTTCCTGGAAACTAGAATAACTGCAGCGGCATTGTCTACTCTATATGGAAGTTGCTGTATCAGATTCGTATTTTTAATTGAGAGTCAAGCTATTAATGAGAATATACATACACGAGTTTATTAGTTTATTTTCTTATCATAATGCACAGCGGATTTGAGAAAGCCAGGATATCACGAATAGAATGGTTCGTCATGGGCAACATGCAAGCAAGAACTTCAAATTGTGTCGATGCCACTATTGTCAGGGCAGCTTAGCTGCTGCAGCTAAGCTATGGCTTCCAATCGTTAACATGTGGTTGGCGTCTTGCGGGACAACCTGATGGAGCACTTGCAAGTGAAAACTGCACAGAAACGTTCCAAGACTTCCTAACGGTTTGGGGATCTTGCCGCCTCCAAGCTTTCATTATCAATTCTCTCTTGTACCTAATTACAGCTGATGTGCAGCCCATAATGCAAGAGAGGCTCGATCAGGCACTGCTGGCAGCGCATAAGCTGTGGTGCGGATTTGGCCGAATTTTGTTGTCTTGACAGAACGACCATATTTGAATCATGCGCATTGCCAGTATGCTTTGATGACACATGATTGGGCATACTACCAAGCAGTGTTGAATATTGCCATTAAGTACTAAACACCACTGCGCACTGAGTCCTGTCACAGGAGTTCTGCGCTGACTGCATCCAAAAGGGGTGCACATGTGCTAGTGGTATATGAGCCTGTCATATAGCAGAAACGATTGGCGTGGTTGGCTCAAGGCTGAATGGCATCAAGGAATTATTGGCTGCCTAAACTGGGGTAAGCCATGGTGCAGGTCCTGAGATGGATAAGACGATGGGCATGAAGAACTACCTGACCATGGCGCTCGCCCGAGCTACAGGCAGATATGCTTCCAACACGCAGTATGTTGAGACGTTCCTTGTTCAGGTGAGAGCGGGAGGCATTGCACCATGCATGCGCAGTGCCATATGGTATGCAAGTCGCCAATGTGTAGATTCAGATGCGTCCTTACTTGGGTGTTGACCGTGGCTGTGTGTGCACATTGCCTCACTGTGGCCATCGTGGCTTTGATAAGAAAGCACTGCTCCAAGTCTCTGTGTCCAGTTGTAGGTTCGTTCTGTGTTTTTCATGCTTGCCAAGTGTAGAGTCAAACGGGCAGGACATTGTGTGTATCTCCTGTATTTCCTTCCACAGTTCACATCAACGTCAAGTTATTGTTGTTGTTTTGCTCATCAGTGTACATGGATCATTCGCAGTAGGGAATTTTGCCCTCCATTGCATGCCAGCTTGGCTCCCCACGTAGGTCCACAAACTAGTAAGGTGGCGCCCTGAATGGCACCATTCATGCCAGTGGCACCAGCGCATATAGAATAGATGCTGGCGCTGCCCAGCGTGGGTTAAGCACTTGTGGCTCGCTGCCTCAGCGCTTAATTCTTGTGTGTTTCGACGACATGCCCAGGATGGGGGACAATTGTCTATTGATCACTACCACGGCATCTACATCGCCATGGAGAAGATCAAGAAAGACAAGAACAGGGTGAATGTTCAAAAGAACGAGGCAGACATTTCAGGTGAACGCAGGGAGGGGGGGGTGGGGGGGAGGAGAATGGGGAATCGGGAGCGTGTACAATTCTTTTGCCGCAATTTCCCCTAGCGGCTTTTCACTGAATGCTTGTTGCCTTCTGTAGCATTGGACTGTATGTGCGCATATACAGTCGTAAATGTATGAAGCGTTGATGAGCACCCCTGATGGCCATCAGAACACTGAGTGTAGGCATGCGACAGACATCGTGTCTTTCACCAAGGTCGATGCGGAGAGATCGACGTGCGACAGCGACATTTGGCATCTTCAGAGCCATCCTACCCGGTTCCAAGCTCCAAACCCGCAGCTCAATTAACTGTCCGCACTAGATCTCCAGATTCACTTTCAGCACTTTGCTATGTGTGTCCACACGGTTGGTAGCACAAATCTAGCTCAAAGTCGTGGGCGACGCCAGTGTGGTACCATAGTGGGTTTGGCAACTTCTTGCGGATTGGTATGCTCTTGCGCCTCTTGCACTGTTGGTATGCCCCAAGCGCAGTGATGCCTTTGTAGAATGCCAACAAAAAATAACATCACGTGATCATCTGCATTCCGTAGAGGCACGGGCTGTGAGCAATGTCCCATTTTCGAGTTGAATGTAACGGTACGTTCACCCAACAACTATGAACATACTTATAATGGGAGGTAATGGAGTATATTGTAAATATTCGTGTGACGCCTCCGGATTTGAGGCTGAGAAGCGCTGGCTGGTAACGGCGGTCAAATATGTGGAGCCTGATAAATGTGCTGCGTGAGGCGAATTGGCCGCGTTGAGAAGAATTGTACGTTATGCCGGGGACCAATTTTCGACCATCAGGGAGGACTCGCCAAATTTCCATTGTGTTTAAAATTGATATTACATTCAGTATTCGTTGCCATTGCATTAATTCACTCCTATTGTGTGCAACTCTGGCACACCGAGTAAATTACCGAAATCGGTCCCATCTTGCACCTTCGTGGTAGTTTCAACCCTATCAAAGCGCGCATTGACAATCCTTGTCTATTGAACACAATCGAGTTGGGCATTGAGTTTCTTCAAAATGATTATATCGTGTGCGGATGTGCAGAAAACTGCCATCATGGCCATCGAGTTGCATCAAACGTGGTTCGGTGTGACTTTCGTTGCCACGACTGTGTATCTGCCCATGCTGCCTGTGCACCGCACTGTTGACGATGGAGCAAAAGTACGATAGTGGACGTTAGACGATATTTTCAGCCCTGAATATGTCTCAGAAATGTCTCCAGTGTTTATCTTTTGAGCTGCGCGCTGAGTGCCCTGGCTTTGTGCCAGCACAATGGGACGCTCGCTGCAGATTACAAAGCACATGACAAGTTCCCATACCTAACTCATCGCAAACACAGGTCTTGGCGTCTGTTGAAATGTAAAGCGTAATTGTGTGTATACATCACCGCGGAACGTCACGCCCAACTCGGAACCGAATTCGTTTCTAAATGTGGCAACCAACAGCATGCAATCTGACATGGAATACGATCACAGTACGCCACTCACATGTTGAGAAAATGTGCCCTGCAGGGGGCTACATTTTCAAGTACGACAATGACAACTTCGACGAAGGGGACAAGATAATCAAGACTACTTTCACAGAGCTGGAATTCGTGTGCGTGTACCCAAAGAAAGATAAAGTTACGCAGGACCAGCTCAACTGGATAGGCAGGTGCGTTGGCCACGCGCTGCGGATTTCAGTGCATCAGCATGTCTTTGCATTTGTGCACATATTTTTTGTGATTAAAAGTCTCAATTGCGCTATTTAAATTAAGTCTCACACTCTGTGCGATCATGAACAAAGTGCTGATTGTCTAAACTTGCCGTTTGTCGAATCGCGGCTCTTGATATCAATGCATGGAGTGTCTGTGGTGGTCAGCTACCTTGGAGACTGGGAAAAGGCGATGGGAACGCGCGACCGAAACCAGTGGACGCCTTACATCGACGAGGGAAGCTTCGTTGATTACTTTCTAATTACGGAGATGAGCAAGAATCCCGACGGTTACAGAGGCTCGACGTATTTCCACAAGGTGAAGCTGCAATACACTCAGGGGGTGGGGTGATATTGGGGGAAAGGCTGCCACCCGCGGATTGCCGAACTCACTGTTCTCATTCCATCAATCAGTCCAAACCCAAGCGCGCATTTATTGTTGCACAACATGCGAAAGAAATCACCAAAGCTACACCGTTTGAAAAGCGGTGGAGAAGCGTTGCACCACATCTCAAACGTTGCATTCACTCCGTCTCCAATTGGGGACAAGCTTGTCGTGCTGACGTTGCCCCGAAAGAAGTGAACCAACCATTTGGCGTCCCTTATGCATGCTCTTCGACCATGCAATCAAAAATGGGCAGGAAATGGATGTAATGCGCAGGCCGGGAATACGTTATGGTGTGCCGAGCTTGCAGCGCCGTCGCCTCACAGCTAACCAGGCCCGCTTCCTCAATTTAGACGAATGCATACGTCATCAAAAACTGTGCGAGCTTAGAATCGTCAAAATTCAGATGGACCGATTGTCTCAAATGACTCCAATGACTCAAACATTTTGGTGCCGGTGACGTTTATTAGCTGCCCGTCCACCCCGTGGGGAATTCAGGAAAAGCAGTTGCACGGTGTGGTCCTGCACCACAGCGCATTATGCGACCGCATTCTGCAGTGCGGTGCACTGCGTCTCTGCAACTTTCCATTATTTCACGGCTGCGGCCTGCCGTGCAGGACGCGGGTGGCCCGCTGGTGGCTGGCCCCGCCTGGGACTACAACGAGGCGTACGGCCAGTGCTGCGGCTACCCCATCGAGGGCTACGACAACGACGGCATCAGCACGGGCGTCAGCGGGGGCAGCGCCATCTCGCCCGAGGGCTGGAGGTTCAACATCTGCATCGAGGAGAGGCGGTGCATCGAGGACCCGCGGGACGGGACGTCGCCCTACTACATGATCATGATGGAGGTGTGGGCGAATGCGCGCGAGGTGGAAAGTGCCAGCAGCGCGGCGCAGGGCTTGACGAGTTCTTTTTCCCTGATTCCAAATGTTACGTCACATTTCAGTCCAGGTGCCTCCCCCGTCCTGTCAATATATGTGGGCTTTCTTGCCACCTAGCAAGGGAGCGCAAGGTGATGTAAGCCCCAAAATTATTCAAACCCTAAGGAACGCTGGATATAAAGGGCTTGACAAGTTAGTTGATTTAAATGTACCGCTGCAAGATACGTAGAAGATCTTGCGCCTTGCAGGAGATATCGGCGACAGCAATGAGCGTAAACACAAGGACTGTTGTTACCTCACCATGCCTTGTTGTCGTAACGAGGTTACAAGGCGACAAGGTACTAAAAAGGTACGAAGTTAACAAGGAAGACGTCTCTCGCACAGTGTTATCATATTCGGGTAAGTCGCCCGTCGGATGGTGTTGGTGATCGCGACCGATCATTATGAAGGAGCGCCAGAAAGCGCTGAAGGAGATTGGAACCAAACGAGGTTGAGGTGACAGGATCTAGCTTCATATGAGCATGGTATCTCAATCTGCTTTTGCACGGAATTTCGTGCACCTCACGCAATTTTAATCAGTTGAGACGAAAAATGCCTGCTTTTATTTCTCTGACTTGATTGATTGTGCACCAATGGCCGCTTTGCTACTGCGAGGCTATCTCGCGCCATCGAGACTACAAGCTTGCCCCTTTGAGAAGGTGCCGCTGACCCGGAAAATGCTCAAATCGTCTGGAGGAATCCCTTCAGGTTTCAGGCCCTCTGGCGCATTGGCTTTTGTGTCAAGCCACGGGGTTCTTCACTTCCCATTCAATTTCTTTTGGTTTTCATTGTCATTTGTATGGAAATTTCCGCGAGCACGACTTCTCCCAACGGCGCCCCTCTGCCGCAGGATCCCACTTTCAGAAGTTTGGTGGAAAGTCGGTGGTCGGAGCTCCGAGCGGGTCCATGGAGCACGAGCTCCATAGAGGGCCTCATCTCGCAGCTGAAGGGTCAGATTCAGGATCCGGTGCTTAGAAATCTCAAGAGGTGGGTGGACAGAGCGAAGCCGTGCATATGCATTGGCCGCCACCCCGAATCGGCGCCCAATGGGTGGTAGATACGGCAGCGCACGCCGCATTCCCAACGCGCTTCGCACTGCTAATGCCAAGCTCACAGCAGTTTATCATGATTTTGCAAACGATTTTCTTGCAATTGTGTAAAATGCCAAGTTTTAAAGGCGACACTTCATTCTTCAGGTTATGGGTTTCAGTTGCCTTCGCCAATGGAATGAAGTTTCAGTGACATCGAGCCACGTCCATTTGGCGTTCGCGCTGTCACGAGTCGTGGTTGCGGGTGGCTACAATGCATAGCTGCAAGCTTGTGGTGATATTACATAATGTAGATTCAATTGTTTCATGCGAGCACTGTTTGGACGTTGGCGCCGGGTATTCGGCTGCCTTCTGTTCCTGTTCCTTGCACTTATGATCAACACAGCTCGAAGAGCAAAACAAGGCACTTCAAATCAAACTTGGGTATGCGCGTGCATGATACCCTGTTCCACTTGCATATTGAAAAAAATTCCCACAACACATGACTCTTTTCAGAGTAGAGCTTTTCGCCTCCGACGCGCAGGTGGAAGACGTCTAAGTTTCTTGAGGGCGTCTCCGGCAACGACCAGAAGAACCTAGACTTCTGGAGCTTCGAAGTGAACGCGATGCTGGAATGGGTGCGGTCGCACGCGGCCTGGATCGACAGCCAGCTCTCCGGAAGCCCCGCTCTGGGGAAATGAATCCCTTCCTAGGCAGTCAGCGCTCTGCCTGGCTCATCGGGTCCGGGAGACCAACGATGGGCGGATAGGGCAGGATGAAATTCGACTGGTTTGGCCTCTCCCAAGCGGGGTGGGGAGTACCTAGCGTTTGCTGAACACAGACTCGCATCATTGTTGTGGACGCAATTTGTGAACGTGCTGGCGCATTGATGCAGCGCTGCGCCCTCGAGCCTCAATCACTGACTGCGCCATGAGCGCGGACGGAGGGACTGGCACCCACGCGCTCACGCGCACGCGCACACAGCAGTCAGCCCCCCGGTTGCCCGCCAGAATCATGGATGTGCTTACGTCAGCTTCGCGCTTCGTGACAAGGACGATTGGAACCTTCCAAGGTAGCGCGTGCTGGTTCGCGGAGGGGTCCACGGCGCTTAGAGGGTGAGCGGGGTCCAAAGTGGCGATTCCTCGCTGCTGGGTGCAGAGGTGCAAACAATAACTCAAGAGATGTTGGCCGCTGGCCCTGTACCGAAGGTGGGCGTTTTACCTGTAGAGGTTACTGTTCCATCGTAGTCCCCTTGAAACCCTTGTGCAATTCGCTGTTGGCGCCTGCTGCGTACGTCCCGAGTTGGCCAAGAACAATGACGCACAGTGGCGTAATGGCGTAGTTTTTTGGCCCCTTTTCGCATCGTTGGTATATGGAAATTTCCTTGTATTCGAACGAATATAGCTATGGAAAGCAATGGATACATTTCGAAGAGTGGAATGCACCGCTCTTGGAAGCGAGGCCATTGTGCGTTTCTACATCGCGCATGTAGCCACTCAGCACTGGATGCATTGGACCTAGCTGAGTGGCTTCATGGAGGGCTGCATGCTTGCAATACAACAATGTACATGGCTGTATGGCAACGTGCCTCGCCGGGAAAGGCACGTCGTCGATGGTGCTTACATAAGCAGTAACGTGCGTGCAAATGTCACATTCTACCAGATCCCGAGTCTTTACATTTTAATAGTGCCCATGTGAGTTCACATTTTTCATGGGAGCTTTTGTGAACGGACGGATACTGCGGACCCACACTGATTCCGTCGACCTATCAGTTATGGATCCACAGCCCTCCCTTTTCGCTTATCCTTTTGACCGTTGTGCGGCAGCCACTGACTTACTTCCCTCGCATCAATGCTTGATATTAAGCATCCAACTTCCATCTGGCCTATAACCAAAACTTTTCACGCCAAGTGTTCTACATTTTAATCCACTTGCTCTACAACTGCCGGCAGAGACGCACAGGCTCACTAGTAATAGAATGGCACTAGTGCTCCAGCGACACCCAGCTAGCGGTTACTATTCTATCAGCAATTGCCTAATTTAAAAGCTGTTCTATCTGGCCCTCGCTCCATGCACGGCGCTCGGCCTGTGCCCCTGCCTGGGCGCCATGGAGGACCTCTTCCTCCCTGGCCCCGCGTGCAGCCTGGCGGGCGGCGTCTCCTCCACTTTGCCCTTGGAGCCAGGGAGTTCCTTGAGGAGCTTCTTGTTCAGCTCGTCAAGGCGCTGGTCCAGGGATGTGGCGCTGGATCCCACGGGGGTCGCGCACGTGTCGGGGGAGCCGCCCTTGCCCTTGGGAGGTGGCCCGTCGCCATCGCCGTCCATGGCCATGGTCTTCCAAAACGAGCCATAATCCTGCGGTGGGACACGTGGCGTTGATGTCATGCACGTTGTGGTCATCTCCGCCTTTTGTTGCCTTCAAGGGAAGATACTATGTCGACTTTTGTATGTTTAACGCCAATTTCATGCTCATAACAGGCACTTACCCCCGAAAGCGCAAATCCTTATGTCGATGCCAGGATGACTCAGCACCATCATCTCATACCTGACACAGCTTTCAAGGTGGTGTTGGGAAGATGATAGCCAGATGTTAAATGATTGTAAACGACTGTAAAATGGGATTCTAAGGCCACAGCAAGCGATGGGGGCAGCATGGAGCTTCTCAATTGAGACGATATGAGGCTTTCATTGAAGATCGAAAGCTTCAGGGAGGTTTTCAAAGGAGTCCATTACTTGTTTGCCACTGATCAGCGACGATCCTGGCATGTACATATCGTATACTGTTATTTTGTGGCAATTACATGAATAGTAGTGTGACTGGCCTGGACTGAGCGTCAATATGGCCTAAGCATACCAAATTCGACATAGCCCCTTGACCGAGTCGAATGTTTCAAAACGTCATAATACAGTGGTTCTCATGCAAGTGCCCACGTGTGAGCGTCGGCCATGAGAAACAGATTGGGGATGGATGCTATTGCTTCTTGCTGTCGTCGCTGTCACCTTGGCATCAATTCCGCGCTGTCTCCAAAAGGCATTTTCGAATGCAATTTCAAAGAAGGGGTTCTTATTTTATCGCAGACTCCACAGTATTATGGATACTAATAGCCGATACAACAGAATCTGAGAACAGCAATGCAATAAACTGAAACTTGGAGGAAGCGTATTTTACCGCCATTGATACTGAAGAACAAGACCCGCAGTGCTGGCAAGGAAGAAACTCGCACGCCCATCTGCGGTTTACGTAGCGAATGCGTATGCAGCGGTGTACCGTGGCGAGGCATTCGGGTTGGTGCAGCGGGTTCGCCTTTTCAAAACTGGACACAAGTGTGCGCGACATTTCCTCGTCTTCGTCGTCCATCTCATCCGCCAACCGCGCCGTTTGTTGGGTGCCGCCCTGCAGGGGACTCAACCACAGCCGTATGCTCTTGTCCCAGGAGCCTGTCACGTAATACCCCATGTCTTCAATGTAGCCAATGCACCTCACGATGTCCTCATGTCCGGCGTATCTGCACAGGGCAGCGCACGACTGATCCCTGCCTGCCCGATGCCGAAAAGAGCCAGAGTGTGCAATGCGTCTGACTTGCCGCTAAGAGCGAGAATAGAGGCGTTCAAGCCAAAATGTTGTTGCGGACGAAGCGCAGTGAGGTGGAGATGTTTTCGGTTAGCTAGTAATTTACTTGGGTCGCACATAGCAATTGAATAGCATGTACCCGGATACACTTTCCAGCAAGGTCCCCCTGATTGGCAGTGCGCTGCCTATGGAAAACATCACCCGCATTTGCTTTTCCAATAGCACATTCACGCACGTACAAATATGTAATCTACCCTCTACATTTATCCATTCACTGCGTAGATCACATTTGCATTGCACCGCATTACAAAAGATATGATTGCATTTACTATGCTACTACTGCTAATAACTCTCTACTACATTACTAGCAACAGCATGTGCAATTGCATTTGTCAATCATTGATATTTCATATTGTAACGAATGGGCTTATAGGGAAGAATAACTCGTTGTTGTGCTGTGTGGATGTCGGGACTCACGTGGCCATGGGCACAGGATCATCCAGGGCGAAGACGCGCACAGACTTGTCCAGCATCGCCGCCAGGACAAGCTCGTTGGCGGCGTCCACAAACAGGCACTGGACGGAGCCCCCGCTGTAGACAAACGCATGCAACACCACGCCCTCGCGGCTCCACAGGCGAATCATGTCGTCGTCCGAGGCCGTCACCCAGCATCCTCGAAAAGGGATCCACCTTGCCTGCGGAACGAAGGAAGGGCGTCAGAAGCTTGAAGAACATTTAGAAAAAGTATAGAAAGGAAACGATGCAAGCCAGCACTACAAAGTAGCGAGCCTTGCATCTCCTATTACCAAGAGAGTGTTTTCCGAGGTGAGATATTTCCACTCGGAATGGTGCAGGCAATGCAGTCGGCGCCCCCCTCAGATGCGGCACCTGGCCACAACACTTTTAGCAAGTATCAGTGCTCCTCGGTACTCGTATTTGTTATGCATGTGTACATGACTTGTGCGTCATGTCATGAGGCGGAAGTCTCCGAGGACGCAAATATCAAAAGGGGAAAATCGGCCGACTGGTTGCGCCATGCACGAGAGCCAAGCCTGCATCGATAGGGAAAAAATATTTTGGGGATGCCAGGAGCGATGACGCTCAGAAGTAACTGATTCCACCCACATCGCTTGGATGCCATCGCATTCGCTTTGATGCAGCCATTTAGTTTCAAAGGGCGCCGCAACTTCCGTCGCCATAGTGGTTGTTCCTGTGATATGATACTTCTGTGATATTATTTCTGTGATGGGGAGGCCAGTTCCACTGCTCACAGGAAAGAGGAGGCCTACTTCACCCATCTTCTGGCGACCTCAGAAGACAGGGAACCACCTCCTACTTTGTGCGTTCATACAAGGAGCGCCGAATTTCAGGTCAGAAAGTTCTTGGAATTTTAAACCCATGAATTGCCCAAAATGGCACCTTCATTCACAGGCAAATAGTGGCACAATACAAGGAAAATTCTGGGCAAATTTCAAAACATTCCAAATAAAATCGAAATAAGAATCTCGTATTTGCCTGCTGCTTCCCTACCCAACGCTGAACACTTGATCCCTAGTTCCTTGCACACAATCATAAGTGATTTTAAGCAATTAAACGCCAATCGGTGCAGGACGCAGTTCCGGTTACAGGCAATTTCCTTCGAGCAGTTTGCCTCAACGTGCCCCTGCAGGATTTCGCTAACATCTATCTTGGCTTCCGCGCGCTGGTCACCAATTGTCGATATTGCGATCGCCCTAGTCGATTGAACGATCTGAGCACAACCGAACAGGAAAAAGAGCGACCCACCAGTGGACTATGCACCACCATGCACCGCAGGAAAATCCTAAAGCCCCAAAGCCCCGCGCATCTAAAGTCTCAGCCCTAAGGCCCTGTCGAGAGCAGCAGATGCCGCGTTTTAGTACTCGGCGTTTATTTTGCGTGCCCTGCCCGGTCGAAACGGCCTTGCCTGCGTGACCTCCGGGATGTCCCTGCTGGCATGGATGATGGCCTCCTCCACGATGCCCCCGGCGCGCGCCGGCACATCCGACCGCGTCAGCCACTTCATCCGGCTCGACGTCCGCCTCAGCAACTCATCGTCAGGCGTCTCGTGCCCTTCCTCTTCCATGCCCTCGAGCGGCAATATGCCCCTCTGGA